TCAGGTTGGCAATACTGAAGACATTTGTTGCGGTGCAGGTAATCAAAGTATGGAAGAATCGCCGTTCAACAGTGGTGAATATTACGCATATGTAAAACTTCACAGACTTCACATGAAAGTATGCAGTATTGTCAAGGAGATACTCTGGCTGTTAATTGATTTCTATTAGATGGATTGGCACAGGACAAAGTACAAGAGGAATCTGTTGCATGGCATTGTTATGCATGTGTTGCCGTTAGGTAAAGTGACCTCTCGGGTTTGATTGTTTATCCAGATTTCCGCTACATTTGTCACGGACCAGAAACCGGAGACCAATTATTGTGCTTAAGGTTTCGTATGCCGTATTATTCAGGGTATTGGTAGGGAGGTGAGTTGGTTGTTAAGCTGTTCAAGAAAGAGGAAATCGGGGGTGAGCCAGCTGAATACTTTTAACGTCAGGTTCCAGTACTAGGTACGAAGTAGAATTTTCAGTCAGTTGATACTTTTTGATCAGGCTGACACTGAAAAGAGAAGAGAAAAAAGCGGAAGGAGAAACTGGACAATAGAATACCACGTAAAACAAACTAGGCCGAGAAGTTCCTGCTTTTTGGTCATTAAAACGACATGTAAACTTTAATTTATGCATATGAGAATGACTCTTCTGTTTTTCTTACACGAATTTCATGCGAGTTATTAGATATGCTGTTTTTGTTCGAAAACTTAAAGGGAACACTGGCTATGCATTTGTACTGCACAATCCGACCAGATGGACCGGTAATCAAACACCCTTTGATTTCACTGACGCAAAGGGTACTTAAGATTTATGACAGCCTTACTCTGTACGTCTAGAGGTCCTAGTATACTTTCATTAGCCCAGAACGTATATATAGTGCCCAGGCGAGTGATTGACTCATCATTTGTTAGGAGCTCATTAATTGCAGAACCAAGGACAGATAATGAACCTGCAGTACGTGCTTCCTCAGGAAGTCCATTCCAGATGTGAGAGAACTTATTAAGGAAGAAGTTTCTTCGCAATTTGGCCTTACAATACTCATTTTCAGATGATAGTTTGTGATTACGTAACTAGCGAGTAGGTGTTACAACTATTTTTATTTCCCTGCCGCATGAGTGCACTTTCTCACGAAGTAGTTTGCAGTAACATATGAGATTCATCCTAAGTCACCTCTTTCAGAGAGGTTCCAGTCCTAGCATGTTGCATATGGAGATGGGGCTCCAGATCCTGTGAAATATCTATGGTGTAGACGATTAACAGAGGACGAAGTGAAGGTTGTTATAAACTCACGCTGACTGTAAGGTCCGAGCGAGACTGCGTTGTGCAGCATTTGAAATAAGTCAAGTCGAGAAAAGTAATCTTTGTCCGCTTGAAGAATATTAGGAAGAAAATTATCCCAAGTGATTTGTCTCTCTGATAACTTTTATTCTGCAAGCCGTGAATCCCAAAGCATACTGTCTGGTGGACTGAGGAGTGCGGTCGGACTGCCAACCCGGGGTGGTGGCGAGAACCAGCAGGCGGATGGCGAATGCCTCAGCAGCACAGACCAAGCAGCCACCTAGCCGCAGCCTCCTGAGGCTGTATACTTCTGCCCAACCCATAGTACAAACAAGGAGAGGTGAGTTAATGGGTACAGCATTAAGTGCCAACGTAGATATAAATTACTTCAATTTGTTGTGACAGACAACTTCCGCAACAGTCCCCCAGTTACGTCTGGAAGGACTGGGCCAAAGCAATATAGATGTTAGATGCTTTTAGACGGATAATGGTTGAGACATCTTTGACGTGAAAGTTTGTTGTGGACTGAGCAACGGAGTTAAAGACGGCTGTAGAGATTGTTTCCCTGAATGTGGATATAGTCCTCGGTGCATTTCACGTGTACAGAACAGTGCGCAAAAACATAGGTATTTCAAGTAGGTACCTACATGCGCTTAGCTCACAGACACGAAACTCATTTGTGAGACAATGTCTCTGCAGATTTCGGTGGTAACCCTAATTACGGGTGTAGTGAAGATGCAAACAGGTTTCAAAAGCCTGGAAAATGGATCATGTATTATCAATCATTGGAAAGGCCGGCAACGCATCTACTACCCGTGGGAAGATACTGATTAAGCTGAACATTCGAGAAGATGGCGTTGGAATCACATTATTGGTGAGATCCAGCCCTTTGAAACCTTGGTCCCTCACTAAATGCTTAGAGAGGGTTCACGAGAAGTGACAGTACAATTCTACATGTCCGCCTCAACAAATGAATAACTATTCGAGGTGTTTATCTCCTTTCAAACTCACAGAGTGACCACTTTCTTTAGACCCAAGCGGAAGGGCGATTTGTGGTTATTCAAGCAAATGGACACCAGAATGACCTCCGCTTCAACATTGCCACATGACATCATATCCACTGACCAGTAGGAAAATGTGTAACTTCGAATACTGTTATTTATTCCGGGCGGAGATAATGCGCATGCCTAACTGACAGCTAACTTTGTACTTAAGAGCCACCGACCACTACCCAGGGTGGATAGAGAAGAAGAATGAGGTTAGACGGGAGAGTATTCCTCTGGATTAATAATCAGTTAACCCGAAAACACATGAGCACGTACGCACGTGAGGTGTGGCCTTGTCCGCAGTTTGGGACATTTCCGTGGTAAAAGTAAGCAGCGGATTACAGTGAGAACGGGAGCAGAAAATGAACTCCTATGCGTGCCATAAAAACTGGTGTGGAGACGATGATTAAAAATTGTTCACACAATAACAATGTTTTATGCAGACTGGGGTTCTCTAATAAATCTGTCGAAATGTACAGGTCCCACTTAATGTCTCATATTGTCGTAAGTAGGTTGCCACTGCGGCACACTGTGGTCGCATGAGCACGACACCACGTACTCATTTTTACTGCTTTGCACCATTTGACTCCAGTCTGCCTCGTCGCATTCATCTTGGCAAAACAACGAGCTGTCCTCTACGAAAGTTGTAAGACTACTAGGCAAGAACCGTTTTCAATCATTTGCCTTCACATCTCTTTCTGTTAATCCAACATGGAGCAACATACGCTTCATGACATGAACGAAAACTAGCGCCACTCTTCGAGTGTCGGATACTGTAGTATCACACGAGGACCTACACTTCTTACTGAAGAGAAAAATGACCCCGATGCTCTTACTTATAATTTATTCCTGATCTTTTATATTTTCTGTTTTCAGCTGCCTCAACTGCCTTTCTGTCCACTCAATCCCCTCTCAAAGCATCTTTCGGCCTTGCAGGTATATATTTAGTGTTGAGAGGAGTGGGACCAATGTAGGCTAAACCATATGTTTCTGTCCTTGTCAGAAATGTCTTTTCTCATAGTTGTACTATGTTCCCTACCCGTGCCACTACCTAGGGATGCAGAACCCTCTTTCTACTATGGTGGATATGTTATCACACTGAAATAACATTGCATTCGAGCCTAAAGTGGACGTGTGCGGGGATAAACAGTTACTGTAACTGCACCTGGAAAACCGCCATGCCTCATGTGTTAGCCTTGTTTTTAATGAAACAAGTTGTGATAACAAGGGTTGTTATTAAAATCACTTTACTCCCTATAATATGTGGGTTATGGTCCGGATTCTCAGAAATTAAGAGTTTAACAAACTCATTCCCTGCACAATATTTTTAAAACAAGCAACAAGTGTGAAAAAAGCAGGATTTAATGATTTAATGTAGAGTATCCGGCTGACGAGCACTACTGAAATTTATGAATTCATGAAATCCTGCTTTTTTCACACTTGTTGCTTGTTTTAAATTTGTATCGAGAAACAAATGTTTACAATATTTTTAGACAAAAAGTTAGTCCACATTAGCTTTCAGCCTGAACAGTTAAGCTAACAGGAAATACAGCGAAGTTTCCGCAGAGGCAATTTATTCATCTAACACAAAAATCTGCATTTCGACGTGAGTATCCCAGGAACATAAATGCGCTACATCTCTGTTTATCTGCAAGCCCATTTCTTGCCGGCTTAACGTTTCTGCTTCGTTTCGTTGTCGGCTTGAAAAACTACGGTTTTAAAACATTTTAGAAACATGTGACGGAACATGACACGTCTAAAACACATGATCGGAAAATTGAAACATCCGAAAGGGAAAACGTTGGTATAGTATGGCGGAAAATTCTTAGTAGCCCAATATCTAAGCAGGGCGTCAATAAACGTAGATTATTTATGTGCATCCAGTTTGTAGTTGTCAACGTTCTTCTAGAAGAGTCTGAATACTGAAGGGGCTTTGGGACTCGCAGCGAAATCTTAAGAGACGTATTATTTTCACTGTCAAAACACTGTGGAATTATATCAAAAGTTACTCACTTAATAGTGACAATTCTGTGTTGACGGGTTTTCACTGCCTCAATTGCCAAGTAACATATGCCGGTATTGCAATTCGGGTGATAGGCTGAAATGTTTCCGGACACAGCATTAAGCTGTGATCACTGACAAGACTTCACCCAATTACGGCCTTCTGCATAGTTCACAAGCGACCAGTTTTCCATAATCCCAATCAACCATTCAGTTATTTTTCAATACGTTGCTACCATACATATTATCAGACTGGTGCGAAATCCTCAGGTATTCCCGTTCTCACCAATTTAAGGCTCAGCAAAATAAGAAAACCTTCCCCCTGAGAGCAGAAAACTGATGGAAAATTGCAAAAACTTGAGCATTTTACCTGAAGCAGATATATAAAGCAGGAAAACAATGATAGAATAGCGTCTTAACGGCGTATTCAGATAGATACTCGGAATATTTCAACTCCATCAACTCGTTACAAATGCCACTGTCCTTCTTGAAAAAGCGCAAAAGAATCTGCCCTAAACCCAAATTATACTTACAAGACTGAAGTCTAGGGCCCAGAGAATCAACTAATTCATACTAACGAGTGACTGCGAGTTGCATATTGAATCCTACAGCTTGTTTAACTTGTTGAACTCATCTGGAGAATACTATGTCAACGCATTTGGTACTCTTTCTGACTTTGTATCATGTGGGTTCTGCAGTTTGCTTTCACGTTCGCAATACTTAATTCTCCATTATGGTCTTATTCTGTCAAATTTATTTTGCCCAATAACTGTTCATCTGGTTCTTCAGACTCGTATTCAGAATATTTCAACACAGCAAACCTTTTATGTCAAAAATGCTCACAGAATCTGACTTTTCAGAGGCAGTCAGCAGATGGTAGGACTACTTTGTAATGTTACTTTAAAGGATTATCATGTTTATGTCAACCCGGGTACAAAACGTTAAAGAATTTTGGTGGTAATAATGTCGAATGCTTAAAGTGCGAAGATGGGCAGGTTGGTATACAACATTATGTCAATTATTTCCAAGATGGTCAGTGATGATGGCTTGTTCTGTATACCTTGTGAAAATGGATCATATATCTCGGCTACTAGAAGCTGTAGATCATGTGCATCGACTGCTGTTTCAAGTAATTTCATACTGCTTAATCATTTTGTTTTCAGTTTATTTTGATCAGTCAGGAACGCCACTACCTACGCAGAAATGCCAAAAATGTCTCGGCAATACAATACCTTTAAATTCACAGTGAGTTCTGAGTAGGTAAAATAAAATTTCTAGGTGTGCCACGTGTCAGACTACTATCTCCATGCTGCGTGCGTCCTCCCTATCTGATTCCTGCACATGTCCGAATTCTCTTGTGAGTTTATATGTTGTCCATGAATACTAATGATTTCGGACTGTATTTTGTGATTACAATTTTAGTACGAGCATTGTTACGCTTTACAGATAGCCTAAATATCGCATAATGAATGTAATTCTCAGGTCGCATCACGGAAATGAACATTGTCATTGAATTACACTTCACAACTTCAACCGTGTGGTATAAGTACTTTAGCTTTTAAGTGCTGTCAGATCAAAGGCTACAAGGTCATCTCACTTATTTCCTATTTTATTTGCAACAGATTTCAAACAGTTGACTCGTTAGGCCTCTGAATTTAATAAAATAAGGACAAAACTATAATATGTAACTTGTCTGAATAGTATGATTTATTTGTGTAACATTTGATCATTTTTATTTCAAACGTACTTAAGATAGGCATTTCAAATGGCCCAAATGGTTGTTGATGGGAAAAGAGAAGCTTTTACTTAACTGGCTTCTGCGTCTAAAATCTGTGGATCAGTACTTCTTGTGGTTGTTTACCTGCGTACAAGTAAGAAAGATGAAAAGTGACGGTTAAAAATGTGAAAATTCAGTTAGTTTTGGGCAGATCGCAGCTACATATCAAATAAGTATCCAGTCGGCATTTAAAGGATTCCGACGAAGTAGCCTGGGTCATATTTGCAGGAACTGCGTCCTAACTCTTAAGGAATAGAAGTTGTGCCTGATATCTAACCTGCTATGTTCCCGGCTTAATTTCTGTGTGCATCCTCCAAGATTAGTGCTACGGCTAGGATTTAGTAAGTGACGGAGTGGGTGACCAAGCCTGCTGTTGTTGGATAAAATTTCTATAGGCTTATCTGCTGTTGACCAATCAGTGTGAACAAAAAAGACCTTTAGTCAAAGTCTCTCACGGTACATTTCAAAGATATTTTTTCCAGTACTTCATTCAAATGGATTAGAATTGAAGTACCATGGCTGGAATGATCGGTTGTGATATCATCATCATCATCATCATAACTTGCACAAAAAGATTATATATATATATATATATATATATATATATATATATATATATATATATATATATATATATATATGGTGATGGAAGGAGGCTGGAGAGATCTAATGTTATCCACTAGTCTGATAGAAATATTGAAAACAAATGTTAAACTGGTATCGATTGTGCATGAAATGGTTGACTTCCTGAAGCAAAATAAAGAAAAATGATGTCAGAAGTCTAAGCACACGAATACAGTCACACGATATATCCATCTTGGTCAAAAAAACATCTACATATAAGTAAACTTACATATATTAAAGGCTGAGACGATCTAGTTGAAAGCAATACTGTTGACGTATACGTTCCATTTTAAAAGGAAAGCCAATAAAAGTTTTAAATTAAATGACCATAGTTACATTTCTAAGTTTAATGCCATCCGAGCAGTAAATTAGTTCAGAATTGTCTTTTGAGGCATGACTAATAAAGTTTTTTTTAATGGGGTTCAATAATTCCACCAGTTTTTTCGAATCCTGTGTAGTCATTCACACCTTTTACTTTTCAAGCAGACACGTGTGTCATAGTTATCAAAAAATGTTTAATAAAGGTAATTGAGAAACACAATAAACAAGTTAAAGAGAAAAAAAGAGTTGGGAGACAGACGCACAAGTGACAAAATGTCCCGAGAATCTGTTTCTGCAGAAAACTGTACCTTTTTTTTAGATTCAGATTTGTGATTCATGGATAAAAGACCATAGGGTTTTGATAGGTCCTTTCTACCAGATTTTCGGGCTCATCTCTAAGTTTGTTTAGGGGGTAAGTTAATGGGACGGACACTAGTCTTCTGGAAGGTGGTTCCAAATGTCGATTACTGAGTATGATATGATAGCTTTCATCTCCATTTTTTGTACACTTGCGCCATATCCTTTTAATTGTCCAAATCTAGAAAGAAGCAAAATAGGCGACAGATGAGTATTAAAGCCATCTTAAAATTCCGTAGTGCATGATAAAGTCCTCTCTGTTTATGATGAGGGCAAGATGTTTATCTTCTGAAGTAGTTCCCTATGATATAAACTAGCCATCGTGGGTATCATACAAGTGACAAATCCCTGAGGTGTTAACAGAAGTTTTGAGTCTTCCTTCGGGCAAGGGCTTGCCACCTGTACTCTGTTCTCTAGTCTTACGAGTTGGTGAAAACATTGCTAGTGATCCTGTCGAAAAGTTCTATGTATTGTCCAGTGTGTCCTGAAACTTTGGTTTTCTAAAGGTCAACAGTAAGCTATATTCTTCAGGTCATTATTCATAATTCATTACGGACCAGTACAAAGAGTTGATGTATCCTATCTATATTGTAAGTGTTACTGTCTGTAATTTTTATGTTTGGGAAAACGCTCACCTGAGTTGATAGACATAAAATAATTCTCCAATCAGGTAAAAACGTAGTCAAGTTCTAACTATTTTTTGCATATCTCACCACAACCCCTTTATTTTTGTCAGATTTTCAAATCACCAGCATAGTTAGTCACAAAAAACTCCGTTATGCTTAGTATTTCTCTAACGTAAAGTAGGATTTGAAGCTATTTCTTTTGATATTATGCCCTATTCCACCTTACAGGAGGAGAGTTAACAGTTAATCTTCACTCTATATATTGCAGCAACGAGGAACTCAAATCCATGCAGGTAGATTGCCAGTGACTACAGAACTTTCTGCTTCGTGAGCTACCTGAAGATAGGTACCCTAAAAATGTGCAAAAATCACATTCTTGGGACATTAAGCATTAGATAATTAGTTAAAGTGAAAGGCTAGTCTTTCTGACATCAAACGGTAGTAATAGCTCCATTATCTGCTCAAGAAGTCAGCAAAAGTTGACAGAGAATATCTCAGGTATCCTTAAGAGTAAGTGTTAACCATATTAGTTCTTATGCCTAGTTGTTTTTCAGCTTGTGGATTACATCTTGTGATGCATTGATACGAGTAGAATCTTAGGCTTTAATAACTTGCTTTTAAAGAAAGCGTTTAACTCTTTTATCTCCGGCTATGTAAATCATATTTCTGACGAATGAATAAGGGGTTATTATATTATTATTGTTTGTCCCTTGGGTTCCTAATGGAACATAGGGCTTCAGTAGCACGTCTCCAGTGGACTCTGTTCTCTGAAATCTTTCGAACCTGGCTCCACGACAGCCCAGAAGCTCTCATTTCTTCCTCACACCATCTCCTCCATATCACCGCCACAGACGCCCAACTTGTCGTTTCCCATCTGGGTTCCACTTGAGTGCCTGACGCGTGATGTCCCCGAATGGACTTCTCAGTGTATGCCCAATCCATCTCCACTTCCTTCCAGTGCATATTCGTTCACTGATAGGTTCTTGCTTCGTTGGTTCGTTGTCCGACCAGAGTTCCTTGTTGCTTATTCTCATTATTCTGGCCATCTGATCTTCAGTAACGAGGCAGCATAGGCAGTTGTTGATGAATGTCTGTAGTTTGTTGGAAATCCCTTTCTTAACGCGCCAAGTCTCTGAACAAAGTAGATAGAAGCACTGACTTGACGTTGGTGTTGGTGTTGAAAATGCGGATGTTGTTCAGGCTTTATGCTGAGTGGAGTGCAGAAGATCTCCACACTGGTTTCAGGTTAATGAATGCCTGTCTTGCTGTCATTCCGATCCTGGCTGGCTTTGACGTCTTCGTCTGTGCCACCTGTAGTTGAAACAGTGCTGCCTGGATAGGTGAAAGAGACTACTTCCTTTCGGTTTCTCCTGTCCATGGTGATTGGAGCTTGTTGTTGTTGCTGTAGGTTGGATATCTTCATCATCTCCATCTTCTCCACACTCACTTGAAGTCCTATCTTCGCTGCCTCACCTCTTCCGTCAACTTGTTAGTTTTCCCCCTCTAGATCTTCAAGTTTGTGCTACAAGACACTAGACATAAGTCATCAGTAAAATCTAAATCTTCTAGGTTCTTTTCCGCGGTCCAGGGTATGCCCCTCTTCTCGCTTCCCACTGTTTGCTGCATGATCCAGTCCACCACAACCAGGAATATCATGGGTGATAGTAGACAGCCTTGTTTTACTCCTGTCTTCACTTCAAAAGCATCACTGAGCTTCCCATTGTGAATCACTTGGCATATGGCATCTTCATATAGTTGTTGAATGAGGCTGATAAAGGTTTGTGGTATTCCGTGGTGTTGAAGCAACTGCCAAATTACTTCTTGGTTGACGCTGTTATTATTATTAGTAAACTTAGGGGAAATCAAATGAAATCTAATTTTCTTTACATGTTTTATTTGACGATTGATAAGTCTACAACTAATCATAGCTTAGCATCTCTATTCTAAATTTTAATGGGGTTAATGCTATTGGATAGGCAAATCGAAACCGACTGTTCCTATCATTTTCTTCTGTTCTCCTTAAAATATATTCAGTCTTGGAATGTTTGACCACTCTTAATCACTAAACGCTGTTAGTATCTCTTTGTTATACTATCTGAATGAGATAATTAAACTTCCGCAAACTTTAGAAAACACTAAAAATAGCTTCCGCTCCCTATTCTCCATCTCAACTGTGTATATATCTGAGAGGAAATAGGATACTGAAGTAAACATGGTTGGTGGGCATTAACTCAGAATAATGTTGTCTGTTGCAATGGGATAAAAAAAGATTAGAATAGATTAAGTCATCTCTATATACTACTCTTAGATAAGTGATTGAGATCATACATCATGAGGGGTGTACACAACTAGGTGAAATCATATAGATGGAAAACATTTCAAATAAATCCAGATAATATCTGACAGCACACTTTCCAATCTTTGATCGACAAACATCCCTACCGTATTTAAAAATCTAGTTTACTTGTCTGGTATTATGTAATGAAGTGAATTCCCCAGAAAGCTGTAGAACAATATTTCAGTCTTTCCTCGAAAGTATGATAAATACTTAGTGTTTTGGTGACCTAAATCTGTAGTGCTTTTCATAAAAGTTGAAGCCATTGTTACCATACGATTTATTGACATCGAACGTTTGTTGATAATACACCGAATACAATAAAGAGCCTTCAGCAGGGAACTTACATTATACTGTCTCATCTCCGTCTACCTCGACGTGCAAAGTCGGATTACGTTGTGAGAAGGTTCAGGACGATCGAACTAGGACTTGACATCAGTCAATGAAGTCCGAGATTGTTGATATGAGTCGTGTGGGAAGATGTACACAACCTGGCTGAGATCTCCGACAAGATAAAAATGAGTGGTTGAGAAATCTTGGTGACATAACTGAAAACTGGTCACAATGGAACAGATAGACTTACTCTGTCTGATGTCTTATAAAGCTTGAATATTCACACTAACCTTTATCTTCAAACTGCTTACTCTCTCACACAACTCCATCTACTTTGATATCAGCTTTTGTCTATCCACCTGTTGTTTGTATGTCACTGTGAAGTGTGACAGCTAGAAGCGATGCACTTGTATCCGAGGTTCTACGTTGAATTTGCCCGTCTATCTGACACTGCATACCATGATTGGTAAGCACTAATCAGTAGCGAGCAGTAGATGTAATATCACTAATTACCGTATAAAAGCTAATTAATCTACTTTTATTCATTAACTTCTATCAAGTAAGTTTAACATGCATGAGTTATGAAGGCTTTACTATTGAAGTTCATCTCTAAGTATAGTTTTTTTGATTACTTTCATGACGACCATTTGTTAACTTTACATTAAAAGTAAGCTAAACTTTTCATAAACTTGAAAATAAAACTATACAAATAAAAGTTTAGTCATTTCTTTAAAAAAAAAGGAAATAAGATAAAACTTTTCCAGACTTGAAAAATAGTTTACCGATTAACCTTTTCACTTCCACAGGTTGATGGTGTTTGTTTCCCAGGTGTTACACCAACAACAATTGGTAGTTCAATATCCCCTTCTAGCTCAAGCCCTGTTGTACCTGTAGGATCAGATACTTTCACATTGATATTACCTGCTGTAAGTTTGTTTTGGACAATATGGTTTTGTACCATGAACGCAGATAAACATAATTTACGGTTATTTGTAGAGACTTTTTAAAATATTAATCTTATGATGCAGTTTTCTCGGGGAAGGGGGGGGGGCGTAATAATAATAAGCCTAAGTGATTTTATGAATTATTGCGAATGTTATGTACATTTTCTTTTCGTAGCAAAGAATATTTCAGATGACTACTACACTATCTACTTACTAACGTTAGCTTTTTCTTTTCGGAGGGATTCTTTGAAGAATACTGTAATAGGTTAGTGATAAAAAAGTCTCAAGTATCTAGAATAAAAAGTTTGTAGATGTTGGTCTAAGCGATGTAGAGACATGTAAACTTTCAGGCTAAGGTCTATCTGACGCCCGTAACTGATAGCTGGAAACCGTAAGTGATATATCTCAGAATCTGTCACAGTTGACAGATACACCCAGACCATATCGTTATTGTAACCCTTAAATCACATTTCGTTGCTTACGTTCACTTCTTTCATCGTGATGTAACGAGTTTATACAACTATCGAGAATATTATTTCCACTTTTACATCTTTAATCTTGTCACTTTGCATTGTCATGTAAGATATATACCAGTTTGGAGGAATAAATACGACTATAAACAGAAAATACAGACAAATTCGGTGTATATCTTTCTATCAACTGTTGACTTCTTAATGGAGTAGCGATAGAACGCAATAAGGTTGAAGGTCATTACATGACAACTATGGCACTACAATTTAAAATCAATAAATTGAACTTCTACTTTGTGTCAGATATGTCACACTTACATTGATTCAGGTATTGAGTGGTCCGTCGAAAGACGGGATCATACACACGTATTAGTCAGAATACAGGTTAACCACTATACCTAGTTTTCTATTCTGTCTGTCGATATACTTTGCAACGTGACAATAAACTAAGTAAACACTAAGGTCTACATATAGCTGTGTAGATTAGTCGTTCTGTGATCTTTGTTTTGATTGTTTCGGTTTATAAACCATTATATACATCTTCAATGTCCTCTTCACTAACTCCACTTCTGAATATCTGTATGAAATCTTTTGTAAAGATGTTTGAAATTCTCTCCTGAATCAGATAACTCTCTACTGTATTTGTCTCTCACATTTTTGAACGCATAACAAGCTGGTGACATAGATAAAAGGAAGCTTTCTTCCTTGTAGCCTTATGTAGAGAATTTTTTGAATATATGTACACAAATCTAAAATCCATTGAAGTATTAACTGTCTATCATATCGTAAAGGAGGAAGAATATTTGAAAAGAATTCCAGATGAAATGTTTTTTCAGTACACTGGCTTATAATCTACAACACTTGGAGCTTCAGGTGCCTATAAGCAATTTCATCGATCCAATAAAAATAATGACAATCAATCAACATTTGTATCACGTTTTATTATCTGGAAACGGAAATATTGTGCAACAGGCAAAGACTATCATCCAATATGTATGCTTGGTGTACAATATATTTATAAGTGTTAACAAAATGTATGAAATTTTTGTCAATAAATTTTACAAGGATTTCAATGACACAGTAAGCATATGATTGACTAACTGACTGACTGACTGATTGGATTTCGTCAGTATTCATTTTCTAAAAGTACCGACAACATCTAGATGACTTTTTTTTTACGAGTTAAGAGATGATTAGAAAACAAGGCAAACACACCCAACAGTAGTTCTTCATTAAGAGAAGAAGAAAAACAACTGCATTGAAGAGAAACTTTTCTTCAAGACAAACTTATTTTCAAAAATGTACATTTCTGAACATTGTCTATAAAGGCTAGAACATTCTACAACATTTTCCAGTTATGTATCTGAATATACTGAGTAATAAAAGTGAATTTACGGTAAAGCAAATAAGATAATAAAAAATAGAAGTAGAAAATGAAATACAATATTATGATATGATAGAATGATTACGTTGAATGATCAACTTCTTAAAATTATTTTATAGTCTACTTGGTGACTAGCAGTGGAATGTATCTGCACCTCAGTGAGTTATGTTGTTCTCATTGACACCTGGCACCCATCACCCAAAGCATCATCCACTAAGCTTCAATATATCAGAAGTAAATTTGAACTGTCAACAAACAATAATGATACTCGTTGCACAAGCAGTGGCTGTCGTGTCTCAGGGGGTTAGTGGATAATGCTTCGACTTTTGAAGCGATGGGCACTGGGTTCAAGTGTCAGTGGGGAAAACATCACTCATTGGGGTGCAGCTACATCTATGTGACGAAGCCCAAGTGAGAGAAAATGTGAGTCCTGGATTTTTGAATTCCTTTTCCTCTCATACACTCTTGTCTAATTTGATATCAGTCTTCCCGATCCACTTTTCTTTTGTATGCTACTGCGGAGTGTAACAAGTTGAACCGATCCACTTGTGTGCAAGATTGTATGTTGATTTAAACTTGTCTGTCTGACCACCTGTCTAATTAATTTATGCTCTTACTGAAGTAGCTATCATGTAAAATAAACTCAAAAGTTAAGCTAATCCTTAGAGTGTATCCTTTCAGGTGACCCTGAATGAAATGTATAAAAAATTCGCTTGTAAATATCTCGGAGACAGAGATCTTCTATGGGCAAATATCTCATTACTATGCTAACTTTGCCATCAGTTTAATGTAGTAAAGGATGATAAAGCTCTACCCTTCACTAGTATTTTTGTGTAATGATTATATTTGATCCTAACTTGATCCATATTCATGATCAAATTATAATTTCAGAGCAAAATGATTTATACTAATTTACACATGTTTACTCGTTTTAATTTTATTCATAGGGTGAAACAAGTTCACAAAAAGGAATATCCTCGAATTATTTTGAAACACAAGCTCGTTCAGCTACAGCCTTTTGTTCAGTAAGTGGACGCTTTTAATTACGTTAGAAAATTAAATATGTTGTTGTATTTACTCGTACCTACCAAGAATATTTTTTCAAAAAACAAATATACTACTCATAGTAGGCAAATTGGCAGCAACGAAATTATCCAGCATTAAGATGTTAAAGTGAATAAACATCCCTCCACTAAATGCCTTCTAAAAAATAACTACTCATTTTAATAATGTTTTCATAAAGAAATATTGAACAAGCGATAGCGGATATTTCAAAATATGAATGGTGAATGTAAATGTAATTTAATCTGAAGTTGAAAATCAATAAACAATATATTTTAACAAAACTTTAAATTTGTAGCTTGTGTTATCCTGTCGTTGGTTGAACCAAATAGATCTACCTCTGCTGAGTGCCAAACACAAAGAAACGCGCGTCCTAGATCCCACTGCTAACCACTACCCACCATTACTATAAAACTTGGAATAGTTTCAAGGAGTTGTTTTAACGAATTGATGTCATCTAGAGAATCAATGTATATCTGGAGGTATTTAATAGGTGTTATGTCCTAGTTTGTGATTTCTTAGCATTGCGCACCGACTTCTCTATTTCAGGTCAAATTTAGGCCATTAGGTCTAACGGCAAGCACCTTATCATACATTCACAGAGTCAGAATACGATAATTCATACTTTTCAACTTTTGTCAATCCGATCCATGAGATTATTCTAGTTGTGTTTGAGGTTAAATACTCGTCGATGGAATTCGATGACCATTGTGTCATATCGTGATAGATAGAGGTTGCTAAATGTTAGAAATCAGACCGGAAAAAGCAGATGCCTGTTACATATGAGCTCTCAGTGATTACCTTGCTGATATCACTAGGTTAAACAAAGTCCTTTGAAACTAATCACCTCACAGATCTTCAAACCGAAATAACCTATGAAAATTTGATGAGTGAAAGAATTATCCAGCACTATGTTGAAACTAGTAATATTTATTAGGAGACAGATAGGCAGATTAAATCAACTTAGAACCTCGGATACAAGTGCATCGCTTCTAGCTGTCACACTTCACAGTGACATACAAACAACAGGTGGATAGACAAAAGCTGATATCAAAGTAGATGGAGTTGTGTGAGAGAGTAAGCAGTTTGAAGATAAAGGTTAGTGTGAATATTCAAGCTTTATAAGACATCAGACAGAGTAAGTCTATCTGTTCCATTGTGACCAGTTTTCAGTTATGTCACCAAGATTTCTCAACCACTCATTTTTATCTTGTTGGAGATCTCAGCCAGGTTGTGTACATCTTCCCACACGACTCATATCAACAATCTCGGACTTCATTGACTGGTATCGTGTCTTGGTCTGGCTACTTTGAACCCTTTTTCAGATCAACTCAACTTCCTCCAGCATGGAACATCGAGGTAGACGGGGGACTGGCATGCTCAACAGCGGTTGAAGCCACTTCAGTAGATGAGGCATCACAGCCTCATCAATCGACTTACCTACCTTTAGCTTGACCTCAACATTGTTGTGACAGTGATTCCACCAAAAATTGTGAAAGTAACTAACTGGGATGAGGTAAAGGGGAAACCACACAAAAGTAGGTAAACTGGATAATCCAATCAGTCGTAAACCATATCATCAAAATTAGTGAAAGAGCTATCTGAGTACTGTTTCGTTTACTACAGTACAGAGGAGTAAGTCAAATTATGTAACCCTCTGTAATCTTTCATACACTAGTTAGGATACTAAACGTTAAGTGAATTCTATACCATCTAGTGCGCGCAAATACAAAAGACACTTCTACGACACACTTGCAAGTGAAGCGGAATAGGCTGCAGGTAAGAGAGACTTGACAACATTGTATCAAATAACCAGGTTACTATATAGGAAGAGATCAACACAGATGAAACCAATAAAAGATAATGAAGGAGATTTAATTGCCAAAAAAGAGAAACAAACGAAACGATGGGCTGACCACTTCAGAAAACTCTTGAGTCGACTTCCACCACCCGCAACTAGTCCGGAAATACCACCAGCAACCGCAGAACTACAAGTTCACACAGGCCCTCCGACAAAAGCAGAAATCCTGAATGCCATAAATTTGCTGAAATCCAGATGGAATCCCTCCAGAAGCACTGGAAACAGACGTAGAGACAACAGCGGACATGCTCACACCACTGTTGCAGAAGGTCTGGAACTAAGGAAAGGTACCTGCAGATTGACTGGAAGGAGGGCTACTTTGTCAAACTTCCAAAGAAAGGAGACCTAAGTGTTAGCGAGAAGTTGCGCGGAGTCATGCTCCTATCCACTTCAAGCAAAATATTATGCCGCATCATCCTGGAGAGACTAAAAGACGTGCTGGATTCAAAACTACAACCAGAACAGACTGGTTTCAGGAAGTACAAATCATGCGCGGACCAAATTGCAACGCTAGACCATGCAGCATCATAGAAGAGAGCATAAAATGGCAGTCAACTCTCTACCTCAACTTCATCGACTTTGAAAAGGTCTTCGACAGCGACGACGGAGAAGTAATTTGGCAGCTGCTTCAACACTACGGTTTTAGTGCCACTAATCTTTACCAACCATATTCAACAGCTATATGAAGACGCCACATGCCAAGTAATCCACAATGGAAAGCTCAGTGACTCCTTTGTAGTGAAGACAGACAGGAGTAAGACAAGGCTGCTTGTGGGTAGTCGTGGCGTAAGGTTCAAGAGACTGCAGAGGACAGAGTGCTGTGGAAGCGTGCTACTGAAGCCCTATGTTCCACTAGAAACCCAATGGAAAAGTAATAATGATCATACCATCTAATACAAGCTATTGATTACTGCTTGAAGAGAAAAGTGGAAAATCTGTCACCCCCCCCCCCTGTGGTCAATAAAGAGTAAGTAACAATGGAAGAGAACTGCAATTATTTTCAATTCCTTTGTATCCAAACACAATGGAATATTTCCTTTGAGATGTAGTCTGAGAAAGCATATGGTACAGTAGTCCGGGCGACCTATTTTACACAACCGGTTTTAGCTTACAGTACACATTTGGTTGAAGAGACTAACCTAAGTGTAGCATTGGAGAAAGCTTACTTTAGGTAATGGCTTCGGTTTGTATTCATACCCACTGGCGATTGACACACGCCACATTTTGTAATGTGAAGGCAGCAGCTGACATAGCTGTCTAAGAGGTTTTGTGACTGTGCCTGAATGTTAAGGGAGTTCAGAACAGGAATATCTACTCGAATTCGCATACCAAGACTACAGCTTATGAAAAGTTTTCGTGTGAAGTGACGACAATCAGTGTGGTCCACCAGCAATGCCCATTGTTACCATTTTATTTAAGTTCATTAGGAATAAGCTTATAGACAGAGCCGCAATTACCTCTGACTCCTAAATTATTGGCCTGCTCTCTGGAGGGCTTCTGATTAACTCCAGGTAAACAGACGATATAGTCTCGTTTGGTGAAGATGCTGACAAAACTCAGAGTCTTAGGAACTCCTTTTGCAGTACTTTAGGGTTACGTCCTGCACCTTCCAAATGTAAGTTGATGCTTCAGGATTGATGTACATCATCGACCCTTAGTCTGTGTATAACAAAACGAGTGACAGAATATGTTAATCGCTTAACTTATTTTGAGAGTTGTATCAACCCAAATGGGATTCGAAAGGTGTTTTCAGCCACTTATGGTGCCGGTCAGACATTTAACTACATACCAAGAGAGTATTATAGTTCACAGTAGTTCGATGTTTCCTTTTACGAATCTGTTAGATATGCCCCCTAAAAGTAAAATATGCGAATAATTTAAAGGTTTTTGACCTTAAGTGTTTTCACACTATCGTTCGTCTGCTGTGAAGTCACCGTGTCGGCAATATCAAGGTTAGGCCCGGACTACTATGAACCCAACTTAGTCGGTGAGATTGCAGACCTTCACGAATTGAGTTAACTGGGTTGTGTGTTGTACATACCAAGTCACTATTTTGAATTGAGATATTACCGACATACAATTAGGTTGAAAAAACGTATGCGTTATCAGACCAAGACTACATTGAATTCATGGAATAAGTAGCGGCATTGATTGGTGACATGAGAGAAAAACGTGATCAGTTGATTGGATAATTACAATAATATGTGAGATAAACTGAGAATGAAAAAGTGTTTACAGCAACCATTTTCTCAGGTTCTTTATTCACCTCTCTCTACCTCAACTTCATCGACCCTGAAAATACCTTCTACAGCGTCGACCGAGAAGTAATTTGGCAGCTGCTTCAACACTACGGTTCTAGCACCACAAACCGTTATCAACCTCATTGAACAGCTATATGAAGACGCCACATGCCGAGTGATCCACAACGGAAAGCTCAGTGACGCCTTTGAAGTAAAGACAGACAGGAGTAAGACAAGGCTGCCACCCACTATCACCGATGATCTTCCTGATTGTGGTCGACTGGACTGAATCATGCAACAAACCGTGAGGAACGAGAAGATGAGCATACGCTGACTGGACCGATGAAAAGACCCTATGAGAAAATTTAGATTTCGCCGATGATGATTTATGTCTAATGTCTTGTCGCACAAACTCGAAGATCTACAGGCAAAAACTAACAAGTTGACAGAAGAGACGAGGCAGCGAAGACGGGACTTCAAGTGAATGTAGAGAAGATGGAGATGATGAAGATATCCAACCTACAACAGCATCAACGACAAAAGGGACCAATCACCATACGGGAGAAACCGAAAGGAAGTAGTCTCTTTCACCTACACCTACCTAAGCAGGCAGAACCGTTTCAACTACAGGCAGAGGCGGCACAGACGAGGACGTCAAAGCCAGCCAGGATCGGAATGACAGCAAGACAGGCATTCATTAATCTGAAACCAGTGTGGAGATCTTCTGCGCTCAGCATAAAGCGTGAACCATATCCGGATTTTCAACACCAATTCAGTCAAGTCAGTGAGTGCTTCTATGTGATGGTTGAGAAAGTTGTCGCGTTATGAAAGGCATTTCCAATAAAGTACAGACATTCATCAACAACTGCGTATGCTGTCTCGATACTGAAGATCAGATGGCCAAAATAATAAGCAACAAGGAACTCTGGTTGGCTGGCTGACAACGAAGCAAGAAGCTGTCGCTCAACAAATATGCAGTAGAAGGAAGTGGAGATGGATTGGGCATACACTGAGAAGGCCGATTGAGAACATCATCAGGCGCCAGGCCAGGTCATCGAGTGGAATCAAAGGATAAAGGACGAGTTGGGCGTCCGAGTTAAGGTGACATGGAGGGGGTGGTGTAGGATGAATGAAAGGTTGTGGGCAGAGAAGAAAGTGCAATGAAGGCGTGCTACTGAATACGAATGTTTCTTTTAGGAATTCAAGCGATAAATAATAATAATTCTTTTGAATGTATTTCTGAGCTTAACTATTCTGTTATCGATCGTGTCAACAGTCTATTGAATTTCAAATCGACAGCTTCATGGAGTACACCTGTATATTTTCTAGACATCCAAACCAAAGTTATGCGTACAGAAAAAAGCTTGTTCAAGCATCTGTTCTCCCCTTCTCCTTATATGATCTAATTATCTCTTCATAATAGGCGAATGTTTGTATATTTTTGTTTGATAAGTCAATTCATCATCTGCTTTATATGCCTGAATTAATTATTCATGACATTCTAATTACATAATTTGTTGTTCGCACTACAAGTAATTCTGAGATTAAATTTCGGTTTTCTTATCCACTTGATAGTGTCAATCAATTTTTATTTACTTCAGATCACTCTCAATTACCCAATTATATAACATCAGCTGTATTCACTGTTCGTTATATGTATATTTCAATTCGAAAGTTTATGGGGATTAATTGATTTCAGTTTAGTATTCATCATGAACTGAAATTATATGGTGAATTATTAAAGATCTGGGATCACTTGACACCTGTTTTATCCCTGTACGAGACTCCACTGCAGTGCACACGTATAACCTCATTAAATGTGGAACCTAAAACTTTCAGATTTTGCAGTTACCATAATTATATTGGGTGAATATCATGCTTTATCACGAATTGACAGAACTAGAAAAACGTTGACCATCAGATTCTGGCCTAGTAGCTCAATGATAATATGCTCTCTGTGAAACCAGAAAGTCCTTATTTCAGTCCCTGATGGTGGCATGGATATACATTGCTGAGGAGTCCAATCCTACATCAAAACAGTTGTCTGGCGTTCCCAAGTCTTTAGTGGTTCTCCAATTGATATCAATCCATGATGAATATCAACTTGATATGTACATTTATTAATCACTTATTCATACTTCAACTGTCTTCAATTATTATATCACTATTTCAGATTTAAACTTTGAGTTTAATGAGACTCCAACGAAAATATGTAATCAGTTATCTCTTCAATGTTATCACTGAAATGGAAATGAATCGAAAAAAATGTTATGATGCAGAGTTATGAGAAAGAACGAAAATACTTAACGACTGATAGTGGAGGGTTTAGACTTTTCAACCTGAATAATTCGCAAAGTGAAATCAAAAAACTAGAAATCAGATGAGTTTATAGTATCTCAGATTGAAAACGTTTATGAGTGAAAATGGACCCTATTTATAGAGTTTACAGTAACCTTGAAAGGCGAGAAATAATTGGTACATCTAAAGAGGTACGAGCCAATCAGAATACTAGCGATTCATACAAAATACGACCCATGCGAAGTAAACCAGTTGAAGCAAATACAGACAGTAAGTATGAACTATGAGAGACATAGGCATCCCTAACAAAAGGATAATATATGTGAATAGAGCAGTCTACCGGTGAATCAATACCATGAAACCGTTAGATTAAGTAGCTTGATTTTTCAAATGAAATAATAGGAATTCTTTAGCAGTGATATGTTTTAGCCCGAAATCGTTGTCTTTTTGGTATGGTATAAAAGGCTCTCTGCGGGACCTAACAGTCCTCGGCTGAATGCCTCGCGGGATCATCACCATACACTGCTGAGGAGTCCCAAACTAAGGAGTAAAAAATTTCCAGCGTTTCCAGGTTTCCACTGGTTTTCTAACTGATGTCAGACCGTGGTGAAAATTTCCTTGAGAGAAAGCAATCCTCTTTAACCATCAACTGAATCGTCAAATAATTTGTAAATTGATCTACCGTTTTATGGTGTGTAGATCCCTCAAGTTAACCAGCCAGGTTCATTCAGTCTAAGCGATTTAGGTTTGCTCTAGGCTTAATTTTTCTGGCAAACTGTTGATAAGTTTGTGTTCGAAAGAGTCAAATGTTAGTCCTGTCTTTATATCACTGATTTGTTTGGCAAAGTTGGCTGATTAACAGCAACTTTTGATAGGTACTCATTATTATTCAGTAGTATATATTTTATTGCATAATATCACGTTAAAATATTCAGCCTTTCTGTTGATTTTCACTTACAGCCTGCGTATAATAATATTACAGCATGTCAGTTACTGGCTAACTTATGCACCTTACAATTGAATACACTTTATGGAAGTGGTACTGCATCTTCTACTACATGTTCAGCATTTCTAAATCTTGCTAGTCAAAGAACTGCATTCAATAGTGACTTTACCAGTTGGTAAGCATTTACAAATTTTTACGCAGTACATAATTATGATCTTAAGGTTTTTTAATCACAAAAAACCGTTTAACGCTTTGGGTTACTAGAGAAGTGTTTCGTTTCAGTTTGGTTCTCTTCAGAAGTGAACACCTACGAACCTGCAAGGGATAGGACCGCGAGGTTATGCAATGATTGAATATTAGAATCTTCAAGAAATAAGAAAGTAAAGTAGGTAGTAAGTTTGTGAAGCATAGCCAGTCAATGTGACAGTGACAGACGCTAGTTATACTGATTTACGAACCACAGTTGTTAATTCTTTGATCTTTTATATTTCCCCCGAATTTACTTCTGGTTAAATTGCCTTCATCGATTTCATGTTAATTTTCTGGGCTAATTTTCCTTCAAACAGTCGTTTATAAACATCGCCCATATCGCACCTCTTTCCCTATTGATTTCAAATGCCGGAACCCATCAAAATCAGGAATCCATACTTAGATTTCAAATTGGGCGGGAGGATTTTCATTGTTGATCTCCAATGATTCATTCATCAAAGGTGCATGTGGAATGGTACCTACTTGAATTTTAATAACTTTGTCCCACATGCTACAAACAGACTTTGGTCTAAAGCCCATTCTACAGAGTTATAATGATATATTCCAGTGATAAGGTGGAGGGACAATGCCTATGGATATGAAAAACGAAAGACAAAATGTCAAAGAAAAGTACAATCAGCAAAAGCTTGTATTCATACGCCTCAATTTCAAGGATAATAAATTTGCAGGAACTATTAACAGGCAAACCTCGCCTGATTAACTAGTTCACTAGTTATTAGCCGGTCCTAAGCCCGAGTAAAAAGGAAAGCTTGGGCGTAGGGCTAGCAACCCTACCCTGGAAAACAAATCCAACCGCTAAACAAACTTCAAAGCAAAAAAAAATATAAAAAAATGAAAACAATAGTATTCCTCGCTGGAATCAGAGAGGCGAAATGACGCCAGTTGGTGAAAGCCTTCGGGAAGCCAATTGGCCGATGTGTCTTCCTTCCCTCGATGAAAGCGAAAGTAAACGTGGGGACATGGAATGTCCGCACGATGCTTGAACCCAGTAAGGCAGGCCACATTGCAAACGACATGAAGAGGTATCACACTGAAGTGCTTGGAATTTGCGAAAACAGATGGAATGGAAGTGGACTCTCCAAACTGTCAACTGGAGAATCAATAATCTACTCCGACACTGTCACCCAGACGACAACCACGAGCACACTGAGTTATGGAGTGGCTATCATGATGTCCCCAACAGCATCGAAGGCCCTCATGCAATGGGAACCAATCTCCTCCAGGATCATGACAACAAGGTTCAACTCAAAAGGAAGGAAGATCACAATCATACAGTGCTATGCACCTACAAATAATGCAGAGCAAGAGAAAAAGGAGGAATTCTACAGACAACTTCAATCAACACTGGACAAGACGCCTCAGTTGGCGATATCAAAATTCTAATGGGTGGGGCGACATGAATGCCAAAGTGGGAGCAGACAACACAGGAAGAGAACTAACCATGGGTCGAGAAGCGCCAGGTGAGGTGATGAACGAGAATGGAGAATTGTTTGCAGAATTCTGTGCATTCAATTATTTGGTGATTGGAGGCAGTGTGTTCAAGCACAAGGATATCCACTAAGCGACATGGAGTGGGTTTCACCAAACACTGGATACACTAAAAATCAAATCGACTTTATCTCCATGTGAAGAAAATGGAGACGTCAGCCTACTTGACACAAGGTCAAGAAGAGGAGCAGATGTAGGTTCAGACCACTATCTAGTGCAAGGAACCTTACAAATCAAGTTAAAAGCCTTCAAAGAAGCTGGTGATAGACCTCAGTTAAAGTACAACACTCGGGAACTGAAGGATGAAACTACAAAGGAAATCTTCACGAAGGCAGCCATCAAGACAAAATGGGAGACATCGAGCAACATCCCTGAAGAAACCTGTATGGATGAACACTGGAAGTCTTTGAAAGCTATGTGGAAAGAAACCTGCACAACCGTATTAGGAAGGAAGGAGAAATAAGACAAGGAATGGATCTCGATGGACTCATGGAAGCTGATAGAGCAGGGAGAGGAGGATGGTGACGCAGAAGATAAACCAGTGCAAGGATGCTCAGCGAGCAGAGGAACAGTACAATGTATAAAACACTGGACAAAGAAGTGGAGAGGAGTGCACGGAAAGACAAAAGACACTTCTACGACACACTTGCAAGCGGAGCAGAACAGGCTGCAGGTAGGAGAAATGGAGACCTGACAACATTGCATCAAATAACCAGTTTACTATCTGGGAAGAGATCAACGCAGATGAAACCAATAAAAGATGATGGCGGAAACTTAATTACAAAAGAAGAGAAACAAAGGTAACGATGGGCTGACCACTTCAAGAAGCTCTTGAATCTACCACCACCTGCACTTCGTGCAGAAATAGTACTTCCAGTCACAGAACTACAAGTGAACACATCCTCCAACGAAAGTGAAAGTCCTGAGTGCCATAAAGCTACTGAAATGTGGGAAAGCAGCAGGACCAGATGGAATCCCTCCAGAAGCACTGAAAACAGTCGCAGAGACAACAGCGGACATGCTCACGCCACTGTTGCAGAAGGTCTGGAAGGAAGGGAAGGTACCTAGTGGTTGGAAGAAGGGTTACCTTGTCAAACTCCCGAAGAAGAGAGACCTAAGTGTTCTCATAAAGTAGCGCGGAATCATGCTCCTGTCCACCCCAAGCTAGCAAAATATTAAGCAGCATCATCCTGGAGAGACTAAAGGATACGCTGGATTCAAAACTACGATCAGAACAGGCTGGTTTCAGGAAGTACAAATCATATGCAGATCACATTGAAACGCTTCGCATCATCATTAAACAGAGTATAGAATGGCAGTCAACTCTCTACCTCAACTTCGTCGATGTTGAGAAGGCCTTTGATAGCGTCGACCGACAAGAATATTTGGCAGGCTGCTGCTTCAACACTACGGAATACCGCAAACCTTTATCCGCCTCATTCAACAACTATATGAAGACGCCATATGCCAAGTGATTCACAATGGGAAGCTCAGTGATGCTTTTGAAGTGAAGACAGGAGTAAAACAAGGCTGTCTACTATCACCCATGATATTCCTGATTTTAATGGACTGAATCATGCAGCCAACAGTGAGGAGTGAGAAGAGGGGGATACCCTGGACCGCGGAAAAGAACCTAGAAGATTTAGATTTTACTGATGACTTATGTCTAGTGTCTTGTAGCACAAACGTGAAGATCTACAGGCGAAAACTAACAAGTTGACGGAAGAGGTGAGGCAGCGAAGACGGGACTTAAAGTGAATGTGGAGAAGACAGAGATGATGAAGATATCCAACCTACAACAACAACAACGACAAAAGCTCCAATCACCACGGACGGGAGAAACCGAAAGGAAGTAGTCTCTTTCACCTACACCTACCTAAGCAGGCAGAACCGTTTCAGCTACAGGCAGAGGCGGCACAGACGAGGACGTCAAAGCCAGCCAGGATCGGAAAGACAGCAAGACAGGCATTCACTAGTCTGAAATCAGTGTGAAGATCCACTGCGCTCAGCATAAAGCGTGAACCATATCCGGATTTTCAACACCGATTCAGTCAAGTCAGTGAGTGCTTCTATGTGATGGTCGAGAAAGTTGTCGCGTTATGAAAGGCATTTCCAACAAAGTACAGACATTCATCAACAACTGCGTATGCTGTCTCGATACTGAAGATCAGATGGCCAAAATAATAAGCAACAAGGAACTCTGGTTGGCTGGCTGACAACGAAGCAAGAAGCTGTCGCTCAACAAATATGCAGTAGAAGGAAGTGGAGATGGATTGGGCATACACTGAGAAGGCCGATTGAGAACATCATCAGGCGCCAGGCCAGGTCATCGAGTGGAATTCAAAGGATAAAGGACGAGTTGGGCGTCCGAGTTAAGGGTGACATGGAGGAGATCGTGCAAGGAGGAAATGAGAGCTTCTGGGCTGTCGTGGAGCCAGGTTCAAAAGATTTCAGAGAAGAGAGTTCACTGGAGACATGCTACTGAAGCCCTATGTTTCATTAGGAACCCAAAGGACAAATAAAAATAAATAAATTAACAGGCAACTGAAGATGCCATTGGCGAGAGCTTTCCCCTGCAAACAGGTTAAGTCCTGTATGTCGAACATTGTGTTCTTTAGTCCAATTGAAGGTTGATACCAGAAAAGGACAGAAAGAAGGGTTTACTTTGGATTTTCTGAACACATTCCGAAGAGTTTACGACTGAGGGGAAGTAACATTCTGAACAGCTCAATCTGGTTAACACTGGACATCAGGCTATCTTCAGTTTCTTCAAGATAATAGCTAAATAAACAATCTCAATTCTGTTGAAGTTTACCGAGACGATAGTTATCAAGCGCCTCAAATCTAAATTTTATGTTCAAAAAGAAGCTGTATTCAATTTCTACCCACCTTGATCATCTTTCTTGACTGTTATCTGATTGCATCATCCTTCATTCAGTCCAGATGGTTATTCCTTCACTTTTATTTCCTCACATCATTTTTTATTCAATCAAATGTGTTGAAATAGACTGTTTAAGACCAACGGAGCTAAACTCATGGGGTTTTTGTGTGTTTTATTGGGTAACTTATTTATTGTACGATGCATATACGTGATCTCGCACAAAAAATAGTCTAGACGACAAATATTCTTTTCGGTAAGTTCTCACCAAGTTCTAAAATTATGTTTAACTTGTTCTATAGGAACGGATAATTTGATAATATTTACAAGCTGAGTAACTAAGATTGCGTGGGCTATCCTTTAGTCTTGGGTTGAGCATTGACTAACTACTGAAAGATGTGCAAAAATGACCTGTATAAGACGTTCCACTAACTGTTGTAGCTAGGTATTATGATAAGATGTCACTTGGAACGTCTTCTTTGAATTTTACATGCAAAGATAGAAGTTTCTTCTCCACAATCATAAATTCTTGTTTTGGAATAGCTGTTAGCTATGTTAACTTTGATGAATTTTTCAGGATATTTATTTTCACTTAGAATATCATAGATATATACAGTAGATCTTTCTCTACACACTCTTTGGAATAAATCGGTTTTATTCTAAATGCCAGGCATTTGATTATCTTACGTTTTTACTTGATCTAAACAAAGTTGAGAAAGTGTGTATACTGTACCTTAGTCTTCGATTTTCTATTTACACTTCAAAGTATACAGCTATCTTTGTTTCTTGTCATTAGTACATCAAAAAAAATTTATCAAATCATAAATTTCATTTTCACAAATAAACTGAACTGAAGGATAATCTCTGTTGTAGTGATTCAGAATAGAATACATTTAGTCTGCAAATGACTTCGATTTACCTTTATGTAATTCTGTTCATTTCTAACCTGTTATTATTTGTTATTTTAACCTGTATGATTGTTGATCATTTAAACGTCGATATATGTTACTGAATACTTAAGACTTTATAAATTGATGCCACATTTTAATCTGGCTAAAGGAATTGCTTCTAAGATGTACTTTCAATGTGCAGTTCAAATTCAACAATGATCTAGATATAGACAAAAGAATGGAGTTGTTATGGTGTCGCTACTTGGACCGTTGCTGGCTGATTGCTTTATGGCGAAGCTAAAGAATAGTGTGCTGCATTCAACTATTGACAGTTTCTACCTATATAAAAGATATATGGATGACACATTCATCATAATCGATCAAAATACAGATATTGAAACTGTAGTTAAAACGTTCAATGATTGTCACCCATCGATCAACTTCACATCAGAATTTGAAGAGAACTTGAAATTCCATTTTCTTAATATTTTATTGAAACGGAGACCAGATGGTTCTCTTCAGCGATCAATTTGTAGGAAGTCTACTTGGAACGGACAATATTTGAATTTCCACAGCTGGATGCCTCTCAGAAGAAAGAGGAATCTAATCCATTCTTTATCTTCAAGAATCAAAAGAACTTGCATGAGTGATACTATCCACGAAGAACTAGATAAACTAAGGAAGATCCTCATGCAAAATGGATATCCACACAGATTTATCGATACTAACTTGAAAGTAAATCAGAATACGGAGCGAGTACTCACAGTTCTCAAGAAGACCTTGTTTATGAACGTTGTTTCCAAAGGCGATACGGCAGCAGAGATCCTGAAGAATCGGCTGTCCGGATCACTGAAGAAGACCTTATTCTCTGCAAAACTGCAGATCACCTTCTCTAGTCAACAACCCATTCCGAAGTGTGTTAAGGACAAGTTGCCACTTTGGGTCACCTCGATGTGTGTCTACAAATTTACTTGCTCCTGTGGAGCTAGTTATATAGGCCGCACAAAGCGCACGCTTTCCAGACGTATCTCTGAGCACTATCCTGCATGGTTGTCGAGGGGAGAATGTAAATCAATTAACAGTTCAATTCTTGAGCATTTGGTCAACTCTTGACATAAAGCTAGACCAGAATCTTCCTTCAATGTCATTTGTCGTGTCAGATGGAATAGGTGAAAAGGAGTACACCTTCGGCAGTTGTGCACAGTGGAGGCACTGGCAATTCATCAATTCAAGCCTGATCTCTGCATGCGAAAGAAGTAGTTCAATCTCTCATCTTACCATGGTCTTAACACTTTCATTTTTTCGATTTCATTATAATTAATTAGTTTATTATTATCACCTTCATTATGACCCTTGTCTCATTCTTCACCTTCTTTATACCTATCTATCAAGTGGACACTCAATATTTGCGTTTCTTATCTACCAACAATTTTCATCTTGTCAAACTCCCTGCCTTCCTCCATATTTCTACTGTCTTAGTTTATTACACAACTACATTGCATTCTTGATTCCGGTTTTTTAGCACTAGGTTAATGATGTAATTATACCCTATTGTTTTGTAATAGACTGTTATATGTTTATGATATATATAAATACGATTGTACAGCTTTAGAAAATGATATCGTCGAAAAAGAAAATTTTCTTCGCTGAATTATCTCTTCTCTATGACTCAATGGGCATGTTTCGTGATCTGGCTACTGTTAACCTTTTACCTATCTAGCCATACTTCAATGAAAATCAACTGCTGGAGTGGACGGTTACTAGTGATATGTATCATATTCTAGCCATCTAAAGTGACAAAAAGCGTCATAAATTGATTTCCCTTGTTTATCTAGGAATTCATGCCTAATCTCTAGCATACTGACTTGTGGATCCCAGAATATGCAGTCTATGCTACAAAGACAATGATAGAGGAACACCAGGAGTTTTTAAATGTCTTTGATGTTTAATGACATTGTTTCATAATCACAGAATAGGACAAATGGGACGACTACTCAGTTTACTTAACACTTGACAGATATTCGGATTTGATTTGAAAAGAGTCAGTCGAGTCTTTTGTATCCATGTTAAGATTTCATCGGTCGCTGACCCATCACCTCTGATCCAAGTTTCTATGCAAGTGAATTAATCAATGGAGTCAACTAATTGATTCCCTACTGAAAATCCAGTTAACTATTCAGACCAGTCCTGGAGTCACAATTTGCATTTCAGTGGTAAAAAATGCATCCCAGATATTCTCGAACAGCGATTATCATACCCAGTACTGTATATTCAGATAAGATCCATTATTCCTGTAATATATAGACAATTTCGACGTACATATTTTGACTGTGTTATTTTTTTGTAGGATGACCAAAATGCCATGGCTTTATTATAGTCCAGCTAAAGCATCTACAGTCCTAAAAGATACATCGATAACATCAATTTACAGTCCTAATTCTAATCTACAAATCTATTTGGCTGCATTTAAAATAAATGGAGCATTTTTAGGTTTTCAAGATGCATCTCAAGGTGGACAATTACAACTCTGCAAAGATACTTCAGCACGTATGAAAGCTGCATTTCAATTTGCAACATCATATCAACAAACAGTAAGTTATGTTAAATTTAACACTGATACTGAGTGATGATTAAAGGTGAGATGATATTTTGAATCGTGACAGGATTCGAACCAGCGACCTCCGGGTTATGGACCCGAAGCTCTATCAACTTAGACACAAAACCCAACTGCTGACTAGATCTTAATTTCATTTTAATCATCGATGTGATATTAAGTTGATCGTTGGTCTTCTTTTGCTTCGAATCCTGTCGCAATTCAGTATTTCATTTCACCTTCACTTAGTATCAGTAGTACAAGTCTGATGAACCGTCAGCGTCTCAGATTGTTCAACTAATATCTTAATATTCTTTGATTCGTTTTAGAATCCGCATTATAATCAAAACAAGTATTATTTTTTGAATGTTAAGGATGTGGAATAAATAAGGCGATACTTTGCAGTCATTTAGTCATTTATATCTTGAAGGCAATGTGTTCAAGTGAACGAATCAGATCCCAGTAACTTAAGTTAAAAATCTATTAGAATGAAAAAGTCTTGTAGAAAATTTTACAGTTACAAGAAATTGATTCCCATTTTCGAACGTAACGCTCCTATCAAAAAACATCCTGTTCAACCGAAGGCAGATAAATATCAAATAAAATAGGCCCATATTCTTAGTCGTATTGTGTTCTGTGAGCTGAATTGTTTAATCGTGAAGCTTTGATCGTCTATCAGAAATCACGACAAGATTATTGAGACTACTTGGTGGAATTGGTGTAGCAAATACTATTATGCAGACCAAAGGATACAACAACCAAAGAAGACAAACCGAATATCATTTACAAAATCAACTGCAATAACTGTTGTCAACACTACATTGGAAAAGTGGTCACCATCTTCACCTTCACCTACATGAACACCAATTGGCTATTAAACGTCACACATGACATTTCATCACTCATTTCAATCCAGGTGGATAACAACTATGGACATGAATTCAATTTTGATAATGTAAAAATTTTGGATGTAAAGAGGAAGCACAAAGAATGTGATGAGAGAATCTGTAGAAGCTTGGCATTCAGGTGAGTGAGTGAGTCAGTCAGTCAGCAATCCACAGATGTATAGACATAGACCGAATCTATCACCTAATGAGAAAAATGGTAAACAACAGAAAGGTCAGAGGTTGTGTAGAGGTACAGCCGACAGGAAAATCTATACATTGAATGAGACAACAATTAAAGGAAACACCCAATCACAGACCAGTTCATCAGTGCAAGCTACTAGATGATTCAGGGAGAGATATTGACAGTTGACTTCATAGTGAAGTTAGTGTTGATGATGTGTGTCTATAAAGAGGATGAAATCTTCACGATTAAACAACCCAGCTCAAAAAACATAATACAACCAAGTCCATTTACCTGAGCTACAAATATTCTCCACTAGCCCCATATTGTTTTCAAAGAACCATGTAACATGTAAGGATGTATACCATTTCAATTGTGTGTTGTCACAGAAATAGATGAATCTCTTCGATCCATGCAGTTAAGAGTGATAACTGTTCGGTGTTCTATTAGATTTGCCCTTGACGTTTCATTCCCAGGCTTAGCGACTTCATCAGCATTCATTTCACAATGCTGGATACAGATAATCAAGCTCCTACATCTTTCAGAGATTTTAGTTAGATTGAGACAATCAAGCTCTGAACCTGGGCTTCGTGTTTTTTGCTTGGAATCATTTTCGAATCTCAGGCGGGACATTACTTCCGTAGAGGTTGCAGATATCCCTTTCTGAGGACCACCAAGAATCATGAAATCTAGGTTCAGGGTCTCGTATCGATTACTACTATCCAACTAACATCTATCTCAGTTCATCGAATTACTGAGCCTCCTAGCCTGGTAGCCATATTGCATAATAAACGATAAATTCGATCAGCATTTAGGACTAGACTATATAAAGTTGGTTATCTTCAAGTAGCCGATCAATATCTTTTAGAGATTTCTTGTTTTGAAAACTGCATTCAGACTATTAAATTTTTATTATACTTTTGCAAATAAAAAATTCAGGATGAGGTTCCGATGTACAGACAAATGAAGTAATTGATTCTGTAACCAGTAACTTTAACGATTTGTTTACTAAACGCCTTTCATTGGAATATAATGAAAATATCCTTAGGATAAGACATTTTTAAATCCATGAAATAATCCAACCATATATACCTATCTGAAGTGTGTTCCCTTTCTTCTTTTTCTCGAATTCTTATGACCTTTTAAGATAGTCTTTCATGCAGACGACGCTGTCCTGCTAGATCAAAATGCTAACTAAGTTCACGGTTTTCTGTATGTGTTGAGCAGAAATTTGAGTACATTAGGCATGCGTTTGGCATCAGAACTGGTTTACTGCAAGTACTACCAGTTTAATGGTAAGGGGTTAAGGAGTGGAATATGTTGACCACTGCATCAACTTGGGGAGTTGCGTCAATTGGGAACAGAGTGCTTATTCATGAAATATTATCTCGAATACAAAAAGACTATTTGACATTTGCCAAACTGTGTCACCTCTGGCAGAGACTGACGAGATATCCAACTACCTAAAAAGGACGAGTGTGCTGCACCGCAAACCGTTCTATCTTGTTGTACGCACATGAGATATGGTCTGTAAAAGTAGAAGATATGGAGCGATTACAGGGTTTCGGTCAGCATTGCTCACAGATGGAATCACCGCATGATCCACTTTGAGGTCAGGTGAAGGGTACTAGACAAGACAAACAAGTTGATTAATGAGGTTGTGAACCTTAGTCACCTGAGATGGCTTGGACATATACTGTGCATCCCTAGCCACTGCCTACTTCGACGTCTAATGCTAGGGGAAGTTGTACTAAGTTGAAAGAGGGCTTAGGGCGGTCAGATCAAGACGTGGCACCAGTTGATGAAGTCCTTGACTGTTGGTGTGAGAAGATGTAGATGACAGAAATGAGTCGTAGAGAACTTTTGGCGACAGACATATTCACTCTGATAACTTCTAAAGCTTGAGTATTTTCACTAACCATTATCTTCAAAATGTTTCTCCTCTCATGCAACTTTTTCTAATTTGGTATCACTTTTTCAGTCTATCTGTTTTTTGTATGGTACTTTGAAGTATGACTAGGTGGAACGGATACACTTGTATGCGAGGTTCTACGTTGATTTTGACCATCTATTTATCTGTATTATCTCATGGGTCTCAGTCAAACAGTCTTTACGCCACGGCATGACTTAGACCAACAGTCAAAACTTCATGGACTTATAGCACATCTTAATTTAGTCAGGCTTAGTCTTCTTCTAACCCAATCTTTTTTCGAATAACATTACATGTCGAGGTAGGTCGTGGCTCGCAACGCGCAGCATATATCCAAGCTAACTTATTCAGTGAGTGTTCACAAGCACACTAACTGAATTTCACTTATTTGAGCATATTCACCTCTACCGCGTTGCCTATCATGACCTTGAGTCAATCTTATCTAAGTAAACGACAATTTTCTTCCGTTTTCAAGTGACTAGATGATTCGTAGTTGTCTCTCATCATCATCACAATAGTTGTCTACTTCAATAACTGTCACCTTCTCACACGTTGAAACCGTCAATCTGAATAATGTTTAAAAGGGTACAGTAATTTTATTATTTACTTAACCCTATTCATTTTTCATTGTCAAAATAACGAAGCCTTTTGTTTTATCTTCCAGTGTGAATTAAACGTGGATGATTTATTCAATAATGAAAAGTACCCATCAATTTTCTATGATCCATGTATCCTTTTTCTTTGTATTAAAACTACACACACATTTTAGTTTAATGTTTGTAACTTCCAACTAAAATATCTTCTGGTCAAATCCTAATCTAAGTGCTTCAGCTTGGGCGACTGGAATAATGCCGTAAGCCTTCCCAATATAAGTTTTTCTCACAGGTCTCGGGTTCAAACATCCCTCCACCTAATTTGGTCTTAATGACCTAATAGTATCATAAACCCTAGCCCAATTGGTGTGTCTTCTGGCCCAACACAAATCCTGTACTTCGTTGAGTTACATTGAAAAGAAGATAGTCTATCGATGAAATAGAAATATGGAGTGAAATTGTGGAGAATAAGATGTCTGAATGTGAGAAATTTCTGATGAAAACTAAATTTATTAATTACGCATAAATGAAAGAAGTTTGGAATATGGACTATTGGTTTCCGACGTAGTGGCTCATGGTAACATACTGGCCACGAAAATTGAAGGCCCTGAGTTCGATCTCTGGTGGAGTCACGGATGCTCACTACTGGGGAGTCTCATGCTGGGACAAAACAGCCTTCGAATGCCTCCATGTTTCCACTGTTCCTTCAGTTGACGTCAGCCCTTGATGAATTCCAACCTGCAATAACTGAAAGAGATTACGTCACAGTTTCTGATAAGTTTGAATACAATTTTGAAGCTGAATTGAAATAAAATCTGTTCATTTAAAATGATACGGTATGAAGTGATTACTCAATGAGGAATAATTGATACCAACTTGAAGCCAATAAATCCCCACATAAACCCCCCAAACTGAATCTAATGGTCGTTAGTGACTAGCTTCTAGAGTTGATTCCTGAAGTTTCAATGGAAATTCGTGACCAGTGGGCCAAACTGAGTGGACATGAGGGAAAATATTCAGCGACGACATTGGGAGATGGTCAACGCAGTACCTCAGTGGTAACGTGCAAGCCACGGAACCCGAATGTCCTGGGTTCCATCCCTGGTGGGGTAAGGTAATCGGTGCGCACTGCTGAAGAGTGCTATACTGGGATAAAACAGCTGTCTAGTACTCCCATGTTTCCGATGTTTCTCCAACCGATGTCAGTTCGTGATGAACGACAACTTGAAATCAGTAAATCCCCACAAAAGTTGACAAAAAGTTTATACATGTGCTTTATCGCGACCGATTTTCAACGATATCACCAAGATTCTCCAACAATTGGTCTCCATAATTTTGAAGACTTATGACAGGCGATCCAAATTTCCCTACACCACTCTGAAAGATGTGATGAACTTGTATCAAATCTTGGTCAGGCCACTCTTACTTTTCTTTCAACATAGTCGTACTTCAGTTAAAATCACGCATTGAAGTAGATGAACTTCCCCAGTTTCATCGACCAACTCTCTTCTTTGTCTGGTGCCCTGTATTTAGCTAGAAAGTATTTATTACTAAGGTACCTAGATTTGTGGGCAACTTCTATAAGCCTTAATTAAAACAATGGCTTCAAATTTTTTCAATTAGATATTTATTTTTATGATACTACAACACAATCTAGTCAACTTGTCCCAATACCAATACGTAATACAGCAGTTATTGATAAAAACGGTGATTTTCCCAATCAAATAACAAGCGCAGATCAGAATAGTTTAAATGAAGCCTTAGCTTTGGGTAATACAGCCTCTGCTGTATCTATTGAAGCTACAATACAAAATAAATGGGAGTTAACACGCCGTTTATTTATGGTAGATAATTTTGCTGGTAGAACTTCTTCAACAACGAAAGGTGAGAATAAATTTTTGCTTATTAAAGTAATTCATTGTTTGTGTAAAATGACTTTATGAAAAGTAACAAAGTGAACGAAGAATATATTTTTTCAATAAGTTCTCTTCAGGTTCCACAATTATAAAATGCCTTTGTACTGCATAAAAACAAGCCATGTTAGTGGCAGGTACATTTTCAAAATGCAGTGAGATTTAGGGATTGTAAGGGAATCGATTTAACTCCTTTAAATTAACCAATATTTGGATGATGCATAAACAGAAGAATGTTATTTTGGTGAACGAAAAGATAACGAATAAGATAGCAGGAGTGGCCTTTAGTTTACGGAAGGCCAAGGGAGAAGTAACGCTTGGACATATTCTTTCTTAATACAGAGTTCAGGCTTGATCAATCTGATTGTGACAGCCTCCTGTATGTTGAGCAGGCGTTGGCTAGCTACACATGGTATCGTTTTGGGAATAGGACGAATGACATTGAAAGCTTTATTGGGATTTGTATGATGCCCTGTATCTACTGGGTGGGCTAAGACTATACTGTTCGCAACTTTCACTTCGCCTTTTCCAAACCGAGCCGGTAAATGCTCTCGTATCCGGAGACGCACCCACCTAATCGTACGCCCCAAGTAACTAGGTCTACAGGAAAAGTAAAATTCATATGTGCAAAATGAAGATTTAAGATTAGGTAGGCTATCCTTAAGTCTCGGGTTGAGCATTGGCTGACTAGTGAGTGACCTGCATAAAACGTCCTATTGACTACTCTAGCTAGACACTGTGATAGAATGTCACTTATAACATCTCCCTTGAATTGTAAGCGCAGAAATAAAGGCTTGTTCCTCACTGTCATCAGTTCTTGTTTAGGACCAATGTAATTGATATTAATTTTGATGATCTTATCCGGATGTCCGTTTTCACCAAGAGTATCATAGATACACAGTAGTTCTTTTTCCATACACTCCTTGGAACATATCAGTCTTACTCTAAAAGCCAGGCATCTGATTATATTACGTTTATACTTTATTGGTACGAAGTTGAGAAAGTTCGTATACTATGCTTATATACATTTATATTTATATTTCATAGTATACAACCATCTTTGTTTCTTGTCATTAGCATATCAAGAAAATGTATTGAATCATATATTTTTTATAAATTGGAGTGTTGAAGTAAAGAAATACATATATGCACCTATCAAAGACTAAAAATGTATCATCCATGTATCGACAGTACAACTCCATATTAGCAATTCGATCTTTCAAAGGAGTATTTTCCAATTTTGGCAAAAATAATTATGCAAATATTAGACCCAATGAAGATCCGATCCCATAACTATTCCGTTAAGTTGGCTGTACAGAATACTGTTGAAAATGAACTAGACATTTATTGTACATTTTAGCGATAGTGCTTTGAAATTCATAATTGGATTCCCAGTGTCTGATTTCCTTTCCAATAATTGTTCACTAATATAATCGTAGGTTCCATTAGAGGGACATTAGTAAACAAAGATATGGCACCTGGGGATCCCATGCATTTGTTTAAAACACTCAAGTTTTTTTTATTTTGTCTACAAACTGAAAGATGTTTTCACGCTATATTTCGATAGTCTTACTAAGTTGTTCGCCTTGAATTCATTATTCATGAGTAAGGTCGTCTTGGAAACTGTCATTTCCCGTAGATGATGGCTTAGCCATAGTTACTGTTTTTCACCTCGGTTCGAGTTTCCTGTTAGGTTCAGTGACTAAACGAACTGAGGGAAATACGCAACCTTTGTCTGAACCATTTTCATTTTCCTAGTTACTTATTTACTAACGTCACTCAGAAGACGAATGTAGACTTGTACCCAATATAATAAACAAATTATATTTGGGGAAATATATGGAAACTGTACAAAAACAGACAACAATAGAAAGACACGTTCAGGACATTCGTGAATGATTGGTTGTTTCTCTCATTCTTACTGCGTACAAAGATGGCAAGGAGAGTAAGGACTCATTCCTAGGACTTAGATATTGAAGTTATTTTGTCTTTTCTTCTGCTGTATCATTTATGTAAATTCTCCTTGTTCTCGAGCACAGCGAATGAATTAGGTGGATATCAATACCGGGCCCCCATCAACTTGCCAAAAAGTACCCGCCTCCAAATCCTTCAGACTGCAGAAGCAGTAATAATCAGGATCAAACTACCGGAATTATGTATTCAAACAAAGCAAGTGTTGCCGTCACAACTACTGTGGCCCAATTCCGGACTCATAAACCCCTTTACATTCTTCCCCAGGTTATCTAATTTTCTGATCAAACAATGTAGATATTTCTTCATCCCTATCATCTAGAATAATCTCAGTACATTCTCTTAACCTGGTTTGTTCCCTTACATAAGTAGCATTTTATTGCGCTACTATTCCGCAAATTATCGTTCTTAGTTTATCCTACCTAGCTGTCATAAATACCTTCCTATTGTTTTATTTAACTATCACCTCACAGTGTTACATAAGCTGTTTAACCGTTAAGATAATCAATTATTGAATTCTAGTGATAATTGAATCATCGAACATCTACAGGCGAAAACTAACAAGTTGACAGAAGAGGTGAGGCAGCGGAAACAGGACTTCAAGTGAATGTAGAGAAGACGGATGTGATCAAGATACCCCACCAACAACAACATCAACAACAAGCACCAATCACCATCAACGGGAGAAATAGAAAGGAAGTTGTCTCTTTCACCTGCCAAGGCAAGGCAGCATCGTTTCAACTACAGATGGCACAGATGAGGATGTCAAAACCAGGATCAGAAAGACAGTAAGACAGGCTTTCACTAATCTGAAATCAGTGTGGAGATCTACTGCACTTAGCGCAAAGCGTGAACAACGTCCGGATTTTCAACACCAACACCAACGTCAACTCAGTGCTTCTGTATGGTTCGGAAACTTGGCGCGTCACGAAAAGCACTTCCAACAAATTACAGACATTCATCAACAGCTGCCTACGCTGGCTCGATACTGAAGATCAGATGGCCAGGATAATGAGAATAAGAAATAGGAACTCTGGCAACGAACCAACAGATGAAGAACCTACCACCGAACAAATATTCAGAAGAAAGTGTAGATGGATTGGACATACACTGAGAATGCCGATTGATTACGTCACGTGCCCGGCCCTCGAGTGGGACCCGTATGGGAAACCTCGAGTTGGGTGTTTCAGGTGAGGGTGACATGGAGGAGATTATGTGAGGAAGAAATGAAAGGTTGTGGTGAGTCGTGGAGCCAAGTTCAAAAGACTGCAGAGAACAGAGTGGAATGGAGAGGTGCTACTGAAGCCCTATGTTCTACTAGGAACCCAAGTGACAAATAATAATAATTGATTCTGACATAAACGTTAACAAAAGACTTTTCGGAATTGACTCCTTTAACTGAATAATATTATTAACAAACTGCTAAGTGGAATCTCTGTATTATTGACTCGTAATTCCTTGATATGTGCATATAACTGTTGATCTTAAGAAGAAGTTATCGAAGAGAATACATTCTTTATTCATTTGAATGATCTTTGAATTATAATAGGAGTTCCCTGGTTCGAATCTAGCTGCGATTCAGATTTTCATCTCACCTTCAATTATTACCCAGTACAAATACTAGTTTGCTAAAAACTATGGCTATCTCAGAAAGCTCACATCATAATTTTTAAAAAATGAATAAATAAAAGAATGTTGAAAAGTTAGACAACACTCTATCAAAAGAAGAAAACCTCGATAGATGAAGGTTAATGAAAATACTGAAGATTTTAAAGATGATAAAAAAAATGCATCCGTTTGCATTGATTATTATTAATTTTTCACTTTATTTTTTTCTTTTTTTTACACATATTTGATCATCACCTACCGTCAATTAATACGTAATCACTTGTTGATATTTTCAAGTACCTCAGTTAGTTCGTTATGCATCGAATATTGAAATAAAGTGATATCACAAGATACTGGTAAAGATGGACAAATATTTCCACCAATTATTAAAATTGATTATTCAAATTTATACGCTACAGATGATTATGGCAAATCGAAACAAGTTCCAGTAAGTACATCATAAAAATCCATATCAATATGATATGTTCACCATTTATCTCAATAATGTTACAATTTACATGGAATATTTTCATAAATACATCACTTACTATTACTATTACATATTTATATTGACTGGCAGTAAGTGAACGCTGATTTACGCATATTACCAGTTATAAAATAAGCTTCAGTTCCCAAAGTACTCATTACTTGATTACTCCAAAATGAAAAGGTCGGAAAAACAAGACTAACATATCAAAATGGCTTTCATTTCAGGATAAAATGAGTCAGAGAACTACCAGAAACCTGAAATCATTGAATAGTTGAAACTTCTTAGCAGTGTGCACAAAACACCTGAACCAATTCGAAAGTGAAAATGAGTGTCTGTTGATAATATTTTATGATGGTTATACTTTATCTTGAACTCATGAAAGTTAGAACAAGCAGATCTTTGATTTTTGATCAAAGAGCTAAATGATGAAGTGTTCATCACAAGATCTGATGACTTTGAACTCTGTTCTTATTAGGGTTTTGTGAGTGTACTTTACTTTTTGGGATGAAACAGCTGTCCAGTGCTCTCAGGTTGTTTTTTTTAACAGTTCTCAACTGATGTCAGTCTGCGATAAAGTCACTTTGAAATCGATTAACCCTCACTTAGCTCTTGACAATTTTGTGAAATTTTAAGCTCAGCTATATGCTTTACTTAAAACGTTGAAGCAAGCCGATTTGCCCTAAATATCTTAAGTCAATGCTTCCTTAAGGCTTTGAAAAGTAGATACGATACATCCTAACACTTATCTCTTTAAGAACTATAAAACGTTTATAAATCTACTTTAACTGAATGTTTAAAAGCATAGTATTCATTTTCATTATATTATGGTCTATCTGGTGGTTAGCAGTGGAATTCAAGATGCACGTTTTGTCTTGCTTTAGACTCGTCAGATTGGTGTACCTACATAACAGTTTTAAGTTCGACTAATTGAAATTTTGTTTGTATCTCACTCGACCGATATACCCTAATAAATTTTGCATCGCTCAACTTAAGGTAGTCTAATTAAATCATACATGCACCAGAGACAACTTCTTTATGCTTAGAAAATTAGTAACATTGGTTTCATAGACTTATTTTGAACTATCTCAGTCAGTATTACTGAAACTCACATTTGTTTGAGTGAATCTATAAGTTTAATAGAACTTAAGTTTGTTGTCTCCTCAATTTACCATTATTTGGTGAATGATTAAAATCTAAACAGCAATAAAATTGAAGTAGTACACACATAATCATTTTTATTGCCATGCTAGAAATCTCTATGTTCTTTGCTAAACAATGATTTTCAAAGTAGTTCTCATTACAAATTGACATCATTTGGAGAATCTGAAAGCATTGGAGAGTTAGTTTGGTACTCATCGATGTCGTTCACCTTCGATACTTTAGGGTATCAAGCCTAAGACCATCAGTTCTTCCACAGAACATGTCATCATTCGGCCAGTGAGTTGAAGCCCAATGGTTCATCTTTGCTATTCCTGTCTATTCATAAAATAGCGAGACCATAATGCAGTGTAGTCGATGGATATTCATACTCTCTGCTGACTTATCTGAACTTCAGAAAATCTATTTTGAAGGATGGTGTTTGTTAGGCTTGCTGTGATATATATGGAATAAGGTCAGTCTGTAACTCATTAATCAAAAGCGGGCATAGAAGTGCATTGTCACCGGTAATGGGCCTTGAGATCACCACAGTTCATGAGTAATGATTTCAGTCGATGTAGTATTGATAGACCAATGATACATTTCCATCGAAAAATACTTATTCAGTTATACGTCACGCCATTTAGTTTTTCTAAGGTTGGTGATACGGTTTCTTCACTTCACCTCTATGTACTGATGTGAAGTGTAGCAACTTGAACTGATGATATAGGCCTGCCAGTTTCTATACTGTTTGTATCTATCTCGTTATCCACTCACAAAGTGTTAGACCATCTTACATTCTGACGAATAGCGAAGTTTCTTGGTTGCTTGCTTGCCTGCTAATTTCTTTCACATATTTTACCTTCCAACTTGTTAATGCCTGGTCACCGTCTGTGGTGAACAATGGTGTTAGCTTGAGTAGAACTACGCTAAGAGAAGGATAAAGACCACCAGACTAAGATATTGTATCATTCAATGTCAGATTTGTTTATCTGATATATATAACGCACTGCAATACAGCGTTATTTACTTCATGACAAAGTCTCGAGCATTAATTATCATGCTCATAATCATATCAACGTAATCATACCCCTTTCCACAACCGATTTTTATAGTCCTTTCATCCCCACCTCATACTCTTCTTTTTTATTGGTAGTAAAAATTTCCATATCTCTGGTATAGATGTTTCATCACTCCTATTATGTGTGTTGGCCGGGTGTTAATTCTATGAAGAAAGATTCAGTAATCAATCTTCCTCGCTTTCTACCTAATAATATTCGACTTGTATGCAGTGCTTTTCTCCTACCCACCCTATTATGTAGTTGTGTGTTAATGCATAAATTGTAATAGTTGGGCTTTTTTTTAAGATTATCAAAATTTTGGATTTGCTATGTGGACGACACTTTTGTCATCCTTAAAAAAAAATGCAAAAATTCCCATTTAGACATTTAGTAAAACAGACAATGTGAGCGAAGAAATATTGATAACCTTTCATCAAACAACTTTCACCACTAGATTGGTATGTAATTTTACGTTTTGAAAATGCTATATTGGTGTAGAGCCATTGATGAGGAACTAATTGAAAAAAAAATATTTCTTCGCTTACATTGTCTGTTTTACTAAATCATTAAAAAAAATGGTCTAGAAAACACTTACAGTTTGATCAACAACGTTTTCAGTGACATCAAATTCACAATAGAGAAGGAGTCAAACAACCAACTACCAATCGTAGATGTTTTAGTCAGTAGGATAAATGCCGGAAAGCTGAAAACCCAAGTGTATTGGAAGCCAACACACATTGATCAAATCCTCAACTAAAATAGCAACAACCCAACAACACACAAAATTAGTTACGTGTAGACTCTATTCAAAACAGCGAGAACACACTGCAGTACAGCAACTTCACGAAGAAACGAAGAAAATCACTTGATGTCTATTCTGAAAATGAACGGCTACCCGCGAAACTATCCCGTACATCATCAAGTACTAAGTCATCGACAGAAATCAATAAACACATCATCCCATATAAAGTAAAGAATACGTCAGAAATCACAACAAGATTACTGACACCACTTAATGGAATTGGTGTGGCTCATAAACCAACAAATTCCCTCCAAATACTATTATGCAGACCAAAGGATACAACAACCAAAGAAGACAAACCGAATATCATTTACAAAATCAACTGCAATAACTGTTGTCAACACTACATTGGAAATAGTGGTCACCATCTTCACCTTCACCTACATGAACACCAATTGGCTATTAAACGTCACACATGACATTTCATCACTCATTTCAATCCAGGTGGATAACAACTATGGACATGAATTCAATTTTGATAATGTAAAAATTTTGGATGTAAAGAGGAAGCACAAAGAATGTGATGAGAGAATCTGTAGAAGCTTGGCATTCAGGTGAGTGAGTGAGTCAGTCAGTCAGTCAGCAATCCACAGATGTATAGATATAGACCGAATTTATCACCCAATGATAAAAATGTTAAACAACAGAAAGGTCAGAGGTTGTGTAGAGGTACAGCCGACAGGAAAATCTATACATTGAATGAGACAACAATTAAAGGAAACACCCAATCACAGACCAGTTCATCAGTGCAAGCTACTAGATGATTCAGGGAGAGATATTGACAGTTGACTTCATAGTGAAGTTAGTGTTGATGATGTGTGTCTATAAAGAGGATGAAATCTTCACGATTAAACAACCCAGCTCAAAAAACACAATACCTGCAGGAGACGAGTTTTTTCTAGATTATTGATTTTATTGGGCTCTGTCATTCTACATTTAGCGGAACACAAGAATTTAGCTAAATATGGAATAGAGTCAGTAATCTAGAAAAAGGGTCAGCTGTTACAATTTATGCATAACAAGCAACCACACAATATGGTGGGTAGGAAAAAACCACTGTACACAAGTCGAATATTATTAGGTAGAGAGAGAGGGAGTTTGATTACTGAATCGCCCTGCTTGAACTCTGGGCTACCGTTTTCTATCATTGAGTATATTGCATCAAATTTCTTATTTCTATATTGTTTTAATCGTTTAATTATGTCAACCAATCGTATTGTATATTCTCGCGCGTTTTTAAAATCATTACAACCTATCGCTTCGCAAGTTGATAGGAAATTTAAGAAGAAGCACCACGGTGGATGGCAACGAGCTCTGAAGCGTATGACCATAGATCAAATGACTATTCCGGAAATACTTAGCACAAACTGCAGGTCGTTGCCGAATAAAGTTGATTACCTTCAGTCACTCTTGTCCACAAATGTTTATCGAAACACGGGTGTAATAATGCTGCAGGAAACATGGCTTCATAATCTGTATGATGATGACTTAGTCTGCTTAGATGGTTTCAAATTATTTCGACAAGATCGAAGCTTTTCGAAGAAGAAATGTGGTGGTGGTGTAGCAACATTTATTAGTACTAACTGGTCGTCCTCCAACTATGTATGCTTCTGCTTCTCTAACGAAAAAATTGAGTGCATTACCATCAAATGTCGTCCCAAACATTTGAGCAAATACAAATACATATATATCACAAACATGTATGTCACACCTGACTGCAGTTTCTCAGATTTGTCAACTTTTGCTGATAAATTCACTGAATTTGCTGCTCCGGTTCTGGGAAACTCCTTGTCTATTGTCTGTGGTGATTTTAACTCATGTGACTACAGTTTTCTATTATCATTGGGTCATAAAAATATGGTTAACTTTTCCACTCGTCTTGACAACACCTTAGACTTTGCATTTACAAATGAACCTGGCATATATGAAGCCCGTAAACGGGCTCCACTGCTAAATTCCGACCACTGTATTGTTCGTGTTTTGCCTAAAGTGTACGGAAAATTATACAAGAAAGCTTTTGCATACCTTTCAAGGAAAGTTCAATACAGATGCTATTCACAAGAAAATATATTACGTTTGAGAAGCATGCTTATAGAAACGGACTGGGATATATTTGCTGATGAAGTTTTAGACAACACTATTACCAATATCACAAGCTATCTCAGATTCTGTCTCGATATCTGCTGCCCTACTGAAACAATTTACATGAGATTTGACAGACTTTCCTCTCCTCATCTCAAGAGGCTTCGGAGAGAAAAGGAAAGGTTGTATAAGGCGAGAGATCACCCTGGCGTTAAAAGGCTTAACTGCCTAATTAAGTCTGAAATACAACGTCTGAATACTATATACAAGAGAAGTTCTTATCGTGTAAGAACTCTTCCAATATATGGAAATTATTTAAAGAGCTTACTGGTAAAAAACAGATGACAACACAAACTCGTTCGGATGTCTGCGCGTTAAACAAGTCATTTATACGTCGGCAAGCTAATTTCACCCTTCCTAATGTGCAAAATCAAGTGGATAGCTGCTTTCCAGGTTTCAATACAAATGATGTATTTAAATGTCTAAAGTCTTTGAATCCCTCCCAAAGCTTAGGTCCTGATGGTGTTTCTAGTATCATATTTAGAAAATGTGCAGATATTTTGTGTCATCCACTTACAGATATCTTCAATGTATCGTTCTCTAAAAACATAATACCCACTGCTTGGAAGCAGATAAAAATTGTACCTGTGCCTAAGCCATCTTCTGGATCAGATGTTACTTTTCGACCCATCGCTATAACTTCCCCTTTTCTGAAGACAATGGAGAAATTACTTCTGCTTGTGATTGAGCCTTCATTGATGGCCTTCAGAGATCCAAAACAGTTTGCTTACAAACACCGGAGGAGTACTTTAGATGCAGCTACTGTCTTGCATCATAATATTGTTTCTAGTCTCGACAAAGGTGTTAAGTATGTCCGTTGTGCCTTTTTGGATTACTCATCAGCCTTTGACTCTGTTCCTAGACCACTTTTGTTAAATAAGCTTGCCATAGCTCACACTGATCCATGGGTTACAAAATGGCTGCATTCTTATTTTTCTGAAAGGAAACAGTACACTATTCATAAAGGGATGCGCTCGACTTCATTGCTTACTGAAGCTGGTGTGCCTCAAGGTGCTGTACTTTCTCCTTTTCTGTTTTCCTTTTTTTGCACGATTTGCCTTATTCTGTTGAAACTAATTTTATCAAGTATGCTGACGACCTGACGATTTCTATTCCAGTAAACTCTTCTTTGGATTGCTCGAAATTAAATGAATTCTTGTCTGAAGTTGGTAAATGGTCTCTCTCAAATGGTCTCAAACTAAACCCCTCTAAATGTCAGACCGTTAATTTTAGCCTCAGGCGTAAACAAGACTTATGTGAGCTGCTTAAATCTCATGACGCCTGCTGCATCAATGGTATTTCTGCAGAAAGTAAATCGAGTGTGAACTATCTTGGGTTGGGTTTTACTTCTGACCTTTGTTGGTCGTCCCATATTTTATTGACTTGTAAAAAAATCTTTCGTTTAACTTATTACGTAAAGAAATTGAGGCTTTCTGGTATAACTCAACTGCTTCTTTTACAATTTATTAATTCCTGCATTTTACCTATTCCTCTATATTGTTCCCCATTAATCTTTCCTGGTCTTCTTAAAAAGGACTATGTTATGTTGCGTAGGGCTTTGAAGACCGTCAGCAGGGTGAGTGGTGTGTCTCTGGCTCAACTGATTAACACTGTAGTTGATCGACATATAAATTCCTGCAAGCTACTAGCTACAGAAATTTTAACTGACAGTGAGCATCCACTTCATTTACAGCTCTCTCCATGTATCTCCTCAGGGAGGACAAGGAGAAACTACATAAGACTGTATGCTCGTACAGCTAAGTATAAGAATTCGACTGTACCTTACCTTGCACGTATATTTTGTGAGGAAAAAAGTGTTAGAACAGAAATCACACATCAACTTTGTGACAGTTAAAAATCTCATTTCAATAATTTAACTTACAATGCAAAATTTTCTCGTTTTTAATATTCTTCACATAAATTTTTATAATAAAACAATTCAAAAGGCTGCAAAGTAGTATGTATATACATATATTTTGTTGTTATTGCAACATATATTACGCTGAGAATTCCAAATTGTTCCACAAATTGTTTGGAATAAAGTGAATTATTATTATTATTTCTTCATCGAATCAACACCCGGTCAACACATATAATAAGAATGATGCAACATCTATACCAGAGATATCGAAAATTTTACTACCAATAAAAACGAAGAATATGAGGTGGGGATGAAAGGACTATAAAAATCGGTTGTGGAAAGGGGTATGATTACGTTGATATGATTATGAGCAGTGATAATTTATGCTCGAAACTTTGTCATGAAGTAAATAATATGGAAGTGCATCCTGTCATAGTTCTCAAGTTTTACACTTATATTAATGTAACACTGTATCGTTATTTGTATCCTTAGACTACTTATCTTATCGGTGTAGGGAGGTATAGACCTTAAGGTTAGAGTCCCCATGACCACCGAAGTCAATGGTTAGAGACTTCAGTTGATGCTACTGAAAACCACTCGTTGTGTTGCAGATTAATTCACATCTCGCTCTAATCACTATATCAAATATAATGTAGTTGTCCTAACCACTTTTCTCTTCATTTGACATCCTCTATCTTTTTACTTTATGATTTCTATTTGTCTATCTTGTTTCTTTTTTTCATAGTATCTTGATGTATTGATGTGAGATGTGGCAACTGAGATTGGTCCGTAAGGATACCACATTTGATTTTGACACTGATTGACTAAGGTGCCACCGCTTCGTCAGTACACTACTTTAAGCCCATCCACTTAAGCTTTAGTCACAAAAGACTGCTTTTCTTTCATGTTCCCCCTTTCTTTTTATCTTTTTCTTTTATGCATTTTATTTTATCTACAGATAACCTTCTCAGTCACATATACAAGTTCAATCGCTAAACAGGCTGCTTTTGATCAAGCTTTGCGTATTGCATTGGGTGTTATGTCAACTTTAGCCGCTTGTTGTGCAATGATACGTACATGGATATGGTCACGTCGAGCTGGTGTACGACATTTAGATGTTATGCTTATTATTAAATTAATATTATACGCTGCAGGAAATATTGCTAATGCATTTCTAATAGTAATTTACTTCGTATCAATTTACTTTCTAATATTTTATAAGGTGAGTTCAGTTTCATAATGAATTGAATAATTCACTGCTTAAAAATCTAATAATGTTATTATATGACACTAAATCTTTAAAATATTCAACTATTATTCTAAGTAATGAAATAATATCTAGTCTTCTTTGTTAATGTCTGCAAAACAACTGATACTGATGCTTGAAGAGTAGATGAGACGACGTTACACGAGCTTCCATGACAGATATTTATCGAAATAATCAGAATTTTATTGTGATATCACTTTATTCTGATTTTTATCCCATTTTTTTCTCACAGGTAATGGTACCATTGTAATAACCTATTTATCATTTGTCCTTTCGATTAATTATCATTTTTTTTCATATAAAATGGTATTATGTCAACTAAGATAGAATTAACACTATTTCTAGGACAGTTTCTATCACAGGTTAAAGTCAGCTGAAGAAACCAGTGGTAGATAGGTATATTTTTTTTCCGTATAAGACTCCTGGATTAGTGTCAGTTAACTGTCCAATGTATGATTCTGAAATGTTTCTTGAAATCAGTAACTTCTTTAAAAGCTTTTAAGTGAATTATAATTTCATGTTCACTAGTGACGTGTTTGGAAATAGATTTTGTGAAATCTATATGAGATATGATATCAACCAATTTGAGTATTAAGATGAATCCTCGCCGATTGCACTGGTTAGTAGTAGTACTACATCGTGAGTTAATAAGAGTTAGAAGATGCTAACCTTCTGATTTCAATATAGTGGATGCATAACAAGGTTCTCAACTATGAACCTGTTGACCTATAGACCCCACTTTTCATGGGATTGTATGTATACTGCTAAAGGAGTCCTAAACTGTAACGAAACACTTGTTCGGTGCTCCTTGTCCTTCATTAGTTAACTATTCAGATTTTAGTTCATAAGTATCATAGTCATAAATACCGTTTAAATAATGAAAATTAAGTTACTGTTGTTAACAGTAAGAAAAGTAAGTCTGCTTGAATTTAAAAATGGTTTTAAAGTATGGTCTCTCTCTATCGATGAGTCCTGGAGTACGACTCTTCAGTGAATATCAACTTCAGAATGAAAATCATCTAGTTTTAAAAGTATTTCAGTTGGCATCTATTCAAAAATGATATGTCTCTAGCGCGATGTGGAATCGTAGATATTTTCCAGTTTTTAGTCTTATATTACTAAAATACATGAATATCTACTACTTAATACAACCATCTGGTGTTCTTTCCTTCAACCATACTATTTTTTTTGTTAATTACAATACGTTTCTATTTGATTCAACGTTTTTCCACTCACGTTTGTTAGAATCACTGTGTAAGCAATTTTGAAATCAAATGGAGGGTTCTAGGCAAGAAAGGCTGGTAAGTCTATTAATGAAGTTATGAACCTTAATCGACTGAGATGGTTTGGATATATAATGCACTTGCTAAGCTATCCCATACCTCAATGTTCTATGCTAACGGCAGCGGGATTAGGTTGGAAGAGAGGTCAAGGTGACCAGATCAAGACGTGATACCAGACAATGAAGTCTCTTACTGTTAGTCTGAGTCGTGTGGGGTGATGTAGACTCCCTGGTTGGGATCTCCGAGACAAAAGGAATCAGTGGTTGAGGACTCTTGATGACATGTCTTGAAATCAGTCCCAATGGTGCAGATGTATTCGCTCCTTGACATTTTCTAAAGCTTGAATATTTACACTAACTATTATTTTCAAATTGTTTGTTGTTTCACAACTTTATCTACTTTGATGTCAGGTTTCACGTTAATTTTGTCAGTCAAACAGTTTCCGCTGTGAAGCTGAAGACAGCCTGAATGAATTTTTCATGTTGTATAACTTTTGACATTATTTATGTTTCATATCAGCTTTCATTATCTCGAATGAAGTGATACCTTACCTGATCGCTTATTGAAATTCCTTCTTTACTGTTGCATACAATAAGAATATGTTCATTGGGTTAAATCAATACCATTTGATCTGGCAATATTTAATGGAAAACAGGTTAGAGATAAGTTAATGATGAATCGTGGCTAGCAGTGGTATTCAGGATGCGCATTTCGTCCTATTTGGGACTCGTCAGCTGGATGTACCTGCTTCCCAGTGAGTGATGTTGTTCCCACCGGGACTCGGACTCGGGAGTGATCGCTTAAAACGCCAGCGCGTGGTTCACTACACCATCGAGCCACGATAACCACTTCTTGTGCGACGGGTATAGTTTTAGCATAATTGTTTTCATACCATACCGTTGTTGATTGGACCGAATTGATCGGTCTCTGTTGGCATATTGGCTCTTGTGCGGATGCCTCGATCCATCATTAACATTATTAGAACGCAGGCAATATCGAGGCATCCGCACAGGAGCCGTTATGCCAATAGAAACCGATCAATTCGGTCCAATCAACGACGGGATGATATAAAAACAATCATACTAGGGTAGAGATAACTTGCATAAAACTGAGATCCTCATTGATTTCAGAATTATCCCCTTTTTATCGAATCAATAAAATATATGAATTAAATTTTTGCAAGAGAGATATCGTTAACCGCATTCAACCGGTTGTTGGAGTAAATCTTCTGACAAAAACGCTACATATTCGATGACTGAAAAATTCCTATAGGGAGTCAATTGTAGCATGTATCATGGTTTCCTGCTGACTGACTACTAACATCTAATACTGTAATACGGTATACTGCAAGATCAAGCCATCTAGTTTGATGTCACATTCTGAATCTGATCAACAAACTGTGATCATCAGTTCAAATATAAGATGATAGTTAAATGGGATACCATCAGGTGACTAGTTCGTCTACAAAGAGACAAATCAACTTAGAACCTTGAGATGACAATTGATTCCATAGACTAAATGATGCTATTGCAATGTTTTACAGTATATATTGAGCAAGTTAGTCATACTAATCAAGACACTCTACTCAAACTTATACAGATGAATGTACAGTTTAACCTATAATCTTATTGTCAACTTCCTCTATTCAACTGAATGTTTTCAACTCATATATTTTCAGGTTCAAAGTGTATACGTCATCAATCTACCGAATTCTGATGATTTTATATTAATTTACATAGCATCAGCATTTGCATTGAAGTGTTTAGACTTGATACATTTAATAGCTGTACAATGTACAATGGATATATTTTTAATCGATTGGGAACCGCCAAAATATCATCGAAATATTACAGGCAGTAATATAAATGTTAATAATAACAATAATACAACATCAATTACAGATATACTGACCAGTTCCAGAAGTCAATCATTGAAGAAATTAAATATAACCGATGGTAAGGATTTTTCTACTTTAATATTGCCATTACTATTATTATCATTATTATTACTATTATTATTACCGTAGTATTATGAGAGGTTTAATGCAATTCCTTAGAAATTTGTAAACATGAGTAATAATCTTTATTTACGAAACGTTCATTTGGTTAAGTCAGCTTGGTAATTCTTCTTCATCTGATTTCAGTGAGTTATTTGCAATTTTTTGTTCAATGAGTAATTAAAAGGTTAAATGAGTGAGCGTAGTGTAGGTGATCTTCCATCTCTGACATATTAAATGATCTCTACAGTCTGAGTGAGTTTTTCGTGTACTGTTGCTTAATTCGTCATAAAGTTTACATACATGTGAGGAGGAGTCAGAAGGTAAAATAGCTTCTCTTGATGTTCTTCTCTCAAGACGAACATATGGAATTTGCTTGGGAAAAGTTCGCAGGTGGGGCAATAAACACAGTATCTTAACTTTGTCCCCCTTCAGTACAAACAAAATTTAGTAAAAACTATAAGTTAGAGATTAAAGGCTATTTGTTCAAAAGATACGATTGAGAAGGAGGAACTAGTGAATTCGCATAGCACACTAACTGGAAATGGCTATCCTGATTAATTTATAAAGAAACATATAATCACAAAAATAGCAAGGAAGGATATTCGAACTGCTAGCAGAAAACCATTATGCATTCCAGTACAATGTAGAGGTGACGTTTTTTACTATATTGTATTATTATTTGTCCCTTGGGTTCCTAATGGAACATAGGGCTTCAGTAGCACGTCTCCAGTGCACTCTGTTCTCTGCAAACTTTTGAACCTGGTTCCACGACATCTGTAGCGTGGTATTATTTCACAAACTGTACAGATCAATTCGGAGAACTTTTAATATTGGTCAAATTACAAGCTACGTTTTCCTCACTCATAATAGTGACACAAACTGAAAGATGAATCTCCTAGACTGGGCACTTCCTGTTGTGTTTATCAGTTTGACAGCTCCTATAGAGCTAGTTACATTGTCCACTGCTGATGAACACCTCCCAGCATGGTTAAGTAAAGGTATAGTTGAAACGAACCAAATGTGGTTATAAATACGGGGCCCCCGTCAACTTGCCAAAAGTTACCCGGCTCTGAATCCTTCAGAGGCAGTAACAGTGAGGATCAAACTACCAGAATTATGTATTCAAACAAAGCAAGTGTTACCGATACAACTACTGTTGACCGATTTGGGACGCACAAACTCCTTCATATCCTATTCCTAGTTATCTAAATTTTTAATTCCATACTGTAAATATCCCTATATTCCTATCATCTGGAACAATTCGATCACATTCACTTACTCTGTTTTGTTTCTCAACATAAGCCGCTTAATCGTTTAATTTATCAATTACCTTGAATTGAATTCCAGTAATAATTGACTCAATAGTTAACGTTCACAAACGACGACCTGAATTTTCTAGCTTCGTCAAGTTTCGCTGTATCATCTTTTAGCAAAGACTATGAATTTCTAATAGAATCACCATATAAAGCAAATTAACTGCTTTCAAGAAATCCAGAAACAATCAAATCAAAAATTTCCACTAATTAATGCAGGAAAAATATCCTTTGGAAAATAATGAGATTACAAATGAAACATCATCAAACATCGATAACACAAAGTGGTTAGTCAATCGCTCCTCGAAGACCTTAAGTCCAGCTGAAGTGAAAATACTTGAAAAAGGACTAAACTTTAACGTGACAGTAGGTCATCTAAAACCCGAAGATGTCATGCCTAGCATAGAAGTGGCATTAAACTTGGTAGATGCAGGAACTGCTGAACAGATTAGAGCACAGTGTGCCTTAGCATTGAAAAAACAAAAGAAGACAGCGAAACTTGACGAAACTCGAAAATTCAGCTTTAAATAATCTGCAAAATGACAATAACATAGTAGCTGCTAAATATGACAAAGATAATTCAACAGTGGTTATAAAAAAATTGAACTATCTAAATAAAGTTGATGAATATATCCAAACAAATCCAAATAATGACGACAACACCAGTAGAAATAAGCTTAAAGCCTCTATTGTGTTACCACATAAAGAAGGGATATCAGAAATTTTACGTAAGATCCTCAACAAAACTGGAATTAGGGTAGCACTTAAACCTACAAACTAACTCAGAGATAAGCTTTGTCGGCTTTGTCGGATCCGATAAAACCAATTAACCAAAATACTCTAATCTATCAGATTCCTTGCAATGACTGCGAGGTTCTGTACGTAGGACAGACTAGCCGGTCGGGATCAGTTAGATTAGCGGAACATAGAAATTCAGCTAAGTATAGAATGACATACCTGAATAAGACCAATAATCTAGAAAGATACTCGGCTATTGCAATACATGCATCAACACACAACCACACAATAGGATGGGTAGGAGAAAACCACTGAACACGAATCGAATATTATTGGGTAGAGAGAGAGGGATTGATTATTAAATCTTTGTCCATCGAATCAACACCCGGTCAACACATATAATAAGAATGATGCAACATCTATACCAGAGATATGGAAATTTTTACTACCAATAAAAAAGAAGAGTATGAGGTGGGGATGAAAGGACTATAAAAATCGGTTGTGGAAAGGGGTATGATTATGAGCAGTGATAATTTATGCTCGAAACTTTGTCATGAAGTAAATAACGCTGTATTGCAGTGCGTTATATATGAGATAAACAAATCTAATATGGAAGTGCATCCTGCCATAGTTCTCAAGTTTTATACTTATATTAATGCAAAATATTTGTAGGTCGAAAAGACTTTGAAAGATTACACTGAGATTGTTTTTTAAAATGATTATGAAAGCATCATGATTCAAGCAACTGACTCACTGGATGCAGCATCTCTGAATCTTGACAGTATATCAGGCATATTTAAACACGTCCAATCAGCAGATAAACTTTTCCGACCGGATTCAGTGAAAGGAGAAAACATTGAGGCGTGGGGTAGACAGAAGAATGAGTGTAACGAAGTAAAATTCTACTTTTCAACGAAAATACTCACTTAACTGTACATTCGTGAACACATAATAGAAGGTTCTATCGTTTCCATTGCAGTTTAACAAGTGATTTCATCGGAAAGCAAATATCTTCATAATTGCAGTCATTTTCTTTCTGTTTTTCCGGTTAATGATAAAATGGGTTTAATTGAGTTTTTTGGCTTTTAGTATGGTCTCTCTCCCTCTTTCTTCAAGCGTTACTCTAACAGATCAGTTTTCTTCCAAAATACAAAGGACATAATAAATACTAAATTCGAGAAGGAAGTCAAATGTAGCATGAAAACGTTACCATATGATCATGGAAACTGCGTAAGGTAACAACTTTAAATCATCTCCACTTAATATCTTAATTACTTCAGTGGAAAAGTATACTTTTATGCACAGAAAAACTCAGGCTAGCAGTTACTAACTTTCTAGATTATATTACGCCTGTTTTAACTTCCATTCTCAAATATTGTTCAATCCACTTGAGTAATATATCTACGCTTTTCATTTCTGTTATCATTATCATCAGCAAAGAAAACACGTGTTGGTGAATGCCATAATGATAAGATACGTAATAGGGCTGGTGATAAAAATGTATTTTTAAGGCGGTGCTTTTCATGGAATGACATCAATTGGCGCACCATTAAAAGCCTTAGCGCAATGGATAGCTGTTTCGTCCTCAGTAGTAAATGCTCATGCTTCCGCCACGGATTGAACCCACACATAGTACACAGTTTCCTTCTTTTGTCAATCTGTAGTATAAAGCAACCATGGTTAACGCTTTCGTCATCAAACTTGAATGTCTTGAGTTCGACCCCTAACAAGGTAGCGTCATAGATGTGCACTGTTAAGGAGTCTTATGCAAGGACAAAACAACTGTCCAGTTCTCCAAGGTTCTCATTGGTTCCTGGATTTATTTTAGTTCGTGACGAACACCAACTTCAGGTTGATCATATGCATAAGCCACAGACTAATGGTGCCAAATTTTATAAACCTTCATATGAGTAACAGTAGCCTAAACTAAGTAAAATTGATTTACTTATATCCAACTGTTATCATTATTTGTCCTTTGGGTTCCTAGTGTAACATAGGGCTTCAGTAGCACGTCTCCATTTCACTCTCTTTACTCCAGTCTTTTCAACCTGGCTCCACGACTGCCCACAAGCTTTCATTTCTTCCTCAAATGATCTCCACCATATCACCCTCAGCTCAGACGCCCAACTCGTTGTTACCCATACAGGTCCAACTCGAGGGCCTGACGTGACGTGTGATGTCCCCAAACGGTCTTCTCAGTGTATATCCAATCCAATGCATCTCCACTTTCTTCTCCATATTTATTTGGTGATAGGTTCTTCATCAATTGGTTCGTTGCGGGGCCAGCCAGAGTTAGTTCCTTGTGCTTATCTGATTATTTTGGTCGTCTGATCTGATCTCCAGTGTCAGCGTCGAATGAGCGTAGGCGGCAGCTGTTGATGTATGTGTGTAGTTTGTTTGAAATTCTTTTCGTAACTCGCCAAGTCTCTCAACCACCATATAGCAGAAGCACTAACTTGGCTGATATTATTATTATTATTATTATTAGTCCCTTGGGTTCCTAGTGGAACATAGGGCTTCAGTAGCACGCCTCCAGTGACCTCTGTTCTCCGAGATCTTTTGAACCTGGTTCCACGACAGCCCACAACCTCTCATTTCCTCCTCGCATGACCTCCTCCATGTCACCCTCGGACGTCCAACTCGTCGCTTCCCATGGGGATTCCATTCGAGGGCCTGACGCGTGATGTCCTCAGTCGGCCTTCTCAGTGCATGGCCAATCCATCTCCACTTCTTCCTGCATATTTGTTGGGTGATAGGTTCTTGGTTGGTTCGTTCCCAGAGTTCCTTGTTGCTTATTTTTTCTGGCCATCTGATCTTCAGCAGCGAGCGTAAGCAGTTGTTGATGAATGTCTGTAGTTTATTGGAAATCCCTTTCGTGACGCGCCAAGTCTCTGAGCCATACAAG